CTAAAATTCAGTTTGGCTAAATAAGAAAGGAATTATGCAAGAGCTGGTCCAGGGTCCATTGTCTGCTAGAACTCCAATGTACTGCATAACACCCCACCCAGAAAATTACATCGAAACTCGTCTATGATCCATCCATTTTATTATATATCCGTGTATTGGATACTTTACGAAGTCATTGTTTTAAAGACAACTTCACAAAAAATTAAATGGCATTTTGAAAAGGGACAATGACTACTAATTACAGTTTAGCATATAGAACAGTTTTAATTTTAACCCTTTAAATCAAATCAAGTTTAAATCTGAAAGGGAACCCAATGTGGAACCCCCAGACTGCCTTCAGGGCACCATGCACTGAGCACTGAGCTGCAACTAGGCCAAGCTAAGGGTCTGAGTGCTGTGGCTATGCCTGGGAAATAATATGTTGGGAAAATATACACTTAAAAACAGATAGATACTTTGGTAAATAAATGCCTTGAGAAAGTCCCAACATCATATTTTCAATAAGTGCTTAAGATCTGGATTGGTAAAGTACCCATGCGTGGGGAGCCTATCACCTTCATGTTTACACCACAATTTCATAAGCAGTGTTCACACTTGTCGAAATTCATTAATGTATTTTAATAAGGATGGACAGATAATATTCAGCAAACTGTTAGAAAAATAGCAGTGCTTAGGATCCAACTAACCAAGGATTTTAACCCACCATTGAAAAAAAAACAGATAAAATATAAATAAAACATTCCTCAGTTTTACATTGAATGGTAAAATAGCGAAAAGGGAACAAGATTTTTTGGAAATTTGCTTGGATCCGGATTCATTCTTTTCAAGTACGGACAGAATCCAGGAATTGGATCCCCATAAACATGAAATGGATTCTTTAAACTGCCAACAAAAATTGTATAGAAATTTTTCTTTTGCTAAATGTAATTATCACACCTCGAAGAAATGTCCCTAAGATGGCTCCAGATCGTATTTTTTTTCAGTACGGATCCAGTATCCGGATTTTTATTAAAATTGATTGTTGGGACTTAAACAATTAGAACTTGTTAATTCCAAAGACGATGTCTTACCTGTAATCTGATGGGGGTTGGTTGATTAGAACTAATATCATTAATAGTTGCTTGGCTTAACTCAACCTCAATATCCTAGCAAAATACAAAATTAAAGTTGATCTTAGTTTATATATCAAATAACTTGTTGAATAAATATTGATAATTTAGCATCAGCATAATCGACAAGAAAAATATGTAATATGACCTGAGGCCTTGTAAATGATGTCCTGTTTTTAAAGAATGCTTTTAACCTTTCACCAAAAGGTTTCTCCTGTCTTGTTTGGGACATTTCTAAAGCTGAAACTTAAATTAGAAATAAAGGTAAGGGTTTATTTAGTTCATAATATTCTATGGAAACCAGAGGCGAAAACATGAATTTGTCCCGGGTACATTGTTTTTTCTCACGTTGAGGCCTAAAACCCTCTGGAAACCATAGGTTTTAATGATCCAGGGTGGGTGGTGCGAGCTCCCATGTAGCCCCCAAGTGTACGCCTGTTTTGACAAAAGACAAATAATAGTAGAGTTAAAAAAGAATCTTTTTAAGATTTTAACTAGAGATATTTTAAATTTATTCACAAATAGCCAAATGTATAAATTAGTTACCTGTTTAAAGATTTTTAATTTAGACCGAAGTTTATAAACTATTTCATCAGAATCAACATTTAGATTCCAGTTAGAAAAAATTAAAAAGAATAAGACTAAATTTTTAAATATAGGTTTATGAATGTTTAAAATTTCAAATATTTGTCTCCATCAAAATTCGATCTTCATTAAATTTTTGAAAATTTTGAAAATCCACGAAATTTTTTGTGAAAATCCGCAAACTATTTGAATTTTGTGTTTTGTTTTACGATGTACACAAAGAGAACATGTTCATAATTAATTTAAAAGATGGGCGCGAAGAATCGTTCTCTAGGAATATACCTGATCGAATAGTTTAATTAGTTAAAAAATATATCAATATTTTTTCAAAATAAAAGGGCTTTATAAGGGGGACAGAAAAGTGTCCCCCCCCCCTACACAAATTCTCTCGCGCGCGTCGTACGCTTTAATAATTTGACAGCAAAACTGACAAATGTTTTAATTATTAACTACAAGAGCTAGCTAATGGTGTCAAAGTGACACTTGCGGAATTTTACAAGCAATGTGATTTTAGACAGCTTCTGCGTCGTTTTGTTGAATAAAAACTGCAGGCTGAAGCCTGTGATACAAAATGTACTCTAAAACACTCTACACCGTACAAAACTTTGTCAACCTGTAAAACATCTTTTTTTATGCTAAGATAAGAGGATTTTTTTCATGGAGAAAGTTTTTTGACAGTAAGTGCTGCATTTAAAAAAAGGAATATTTTGCCCTGTTCGGAAATTGTAAATTATGCTCATTTTGCCGCGCTTCATTAAAACATACAAAATTGATTTACTTGTAAAATAAGTTTTCAATATTTTCATTTTAGAATACGTAAAGTACATGTCAAATGATTTATTGACATTAGGAGAATTAATTCCTTCAGATTCAAAGATACAAAAATATTTTACAGAAAGTTCATAAAATAAAATGCTGGCTTGGGCGCCACCTGACGAAATATTTGTCAATTGTCCCGGAATTATTGAAATCAGGTATAATGAAAAACAGTTAAGACAATTACAAAAGAAAATAATCTTTAGCTGTTGGTTTTTCGTGAAAGTCAGAATGAAGACAATGCTTTCTCTTATCTCTATAATATTTCTTTATTAATTAGGTGGAAATATGATGATCCATTGATCTGTAAACCCTCAGTTGATCTCTTTGATGAACAGAAGAAAGGAAAGGTATTCCCTCCCCTTAGTCGCCCCCCCCCCACACGATTTCTACATTGTATAACCCTCTTCTTCTGTAGGGGTATTTATTTTTAAGAATTACACTTCCTTTCAGGGAGGTTGAATTCATTTTTATTTTATCGAATCTAAACCCTAAATGCATGAGTGTTTTTATTCTTCTCTAAAATTATTTTAGAAATGTGGCATAAACATTTGATTTGAAAAAAATTTGATGTTTATTTTAAAAGCGAGCTTTTTTAATGGAATTTTTTATATTTCCGTTATCTGTAGTAATGATTACTTTTACATGTTTTTGTGTTAAGGGGTTATCTGAGTCCCACGGAAAGAAAGATAAACAAACTTCAGAACAGGTATTGGTTAAATCTACGTTTAAGAAATTAATTATTTTTCTAACTTCTTAAACTTTAGTATTGATCTAACAAATATGTTGCATTGTATTATTTATTCCCGAACCTTTGAGACTTGCAGGTATCGCTAAAATTTACAGGGTGAGTCAAAAAAAAAAGTGTGATTAGCGTCGCCTGGTGCAAAGTTGTACTTTTGTGTGCTAATCTCCTTTATGATGTTTTTTCAATATTTTTTGGAAATTTTTTTTATGGCCTAAAAAAATCCGATAACATTTTTTTCTATTAAATTCTAAAATTTTATAAAGATTGTACGACAGAATCGCAGAAAATTTGCAAAATTGTAATAAGAAAATTCGCAATTTTCAGTTCTGGTTTAATTTTTATGGAAAAGTACTTTAAATCCTCTATTCCCTTTCTTCTTAGTTAATTCTAAATATACGCTGTTCAGTTGAAACCTGAAGAACCATTGATAAACAAATATTTTAGGAAATTAAGTATTTTTCTAGGATTCCATAATGGGGATGCTTTTTGACAATTTTTGAATAAGAGACTTTTAAGTTTTATTTTAGTCTTACTTCCGTTGCCTGCTTTGTGAGTGTGATCTAATGTCTGTGATAACATTGCGAGCACACAAGGGAGGCGCCCAACATACTCTGTAAGTTTGTTTTCTTAGATAGACTCGCAGGAGTTTATATTTTCCCTAAAAATCATTTTAATTCCCGTCACCGCTTTTTAAAATCGTTACAATGATTTCGAACAAATCTGTTATCACTTAGGCTGTGGAACTCATGGCAAAGAAATTATTTATTTCTAGAAAGGAATAAATTTCGACAATCTAGAAACATCCTTTTGAAAATTTCTGTGATATTTTTTAGAAAGGCCCTGAAGAAGTATGGAGAATATAAGAAGGAACTTGCTAATCGTCCCAATAGAGAACCAAGTCCACAGGTTTTAGCATTTAAAGATTTAAATTTATTAATATCGGACTTAATTATTTTTAACGATATACTGGGAAAATACCTTCAAAAATAATGTCATGTCACCCCCAAATTTTAGTTCATAACTGGGGTTATTCATTAGAACTTTAATGGACGGAAACTCAAGCTTGATTTCCAAGGAGAAGGGTTGATTACGATTATTATTATTATTATTATTATTATCATTATCATTATCATTATCATTATCATTATCATTATCATTTTATCATTATCATTTTATCATTATCATTTTATCATTATCATTATCATTATCATTATCATTATCATTATCATTATCATTATCATTATCATTATCATTATCATTATCATTATCATTATCATTATCATTATCATTATCATTATCATTATCATTATCATTATCATTATCATTATCATTATCATTATCATTATCATTATCATTATCATCATCATTATTATTATCATTATTATTATCATTATTATTATTATACCCATGGAGCTTTTAATAAAACTAAATATATCCCCAGGTAGAGTCCAAGTTCTTAGATCTCTACGCGGCTCTGGAGCACAAACAAACAGATATTGTTGGATTCAAGTATGTTTTATAATTGTAGCTTTTAAATTTTTTCATGACAGCAGCTTTTTCTTTATTTATATTTTACAAATGCACAACAACAAATATTATTATAAGACAAATTTTTACCATTCTGTCCTGATACAAGCCTTGCCCGACGCCTGGGTTATGTGAGTTGTTATCAAAAGTTTGGACTTGATCGGTTCAGCCGTTTTGGCGTTTCTTGGACACAAACAACAAGCTAAAAATATCTATAGAAAAATATTAGTGTTGAAAGCGTAAATTAACTTTTTTAACTGCCGCAGTCATTAAAATTTAAGAAAAGTATTTCGACGACGACGTCGCTGGACTTCTATAAAGAATGTTTAAAGTTTTCAAAAGAAGTTAGTCAAGTTGGTACCTAATTAAATCTTTGTATGATCTACTGGTATCAATTCTAAATGTTAAGATATATAACTGAGTACTGTGATGATACCAATCCGAATCATAATCCTCTATATCACTGTAGCTTAAGGGACTGCAGGTACTTCAATTCATTATGTTCATAAATAATGAAAATGGGGGGGGGGACTTTAATTAAGCCTCATTTTCAATGAATATTTAGGAATGCGCAAGGAGATGCTGAATTCATGCAACGCCATATGATGAAGGTGCTTGTTTTTTGTTTCTCTTGATGACGTTTTTATATTTAGCCACCATTGGCTGTATTTTGTGTCTTTTTACTTTTTATTTTGCAACATACTTCCCTTCGCTTCCTTTCCTACCTTCCTATTCCTACCCAGACCTTCCATATCCAACCTTTCCCTTTCCATCCCTGTTTTCCCCTTTCAGTCCCTACCTTCCCCTTTCAGAGCCTACCTTCCCCTTTCCTTCTTTTCTTTTCTCTTACTATTTCCTGGTTTGTTTATTGCAAAGCTTTGGATCTGGATCCGTTGGATCTGCGAGATTTTGGATACGGATCCGCGTATCCGGATCCAAGGGGAAAATATCAACCAAAAACTGCATAAAACAAATTTGTACTATCTGAACTGTTTGAGGAAAAAGAGAGATTATAAAAAATTCATGATTTTTATTTGACAATCCTGCATTGTTAAAAAAAATTAGTAAATCTTAAAGAAGTGCTTATGACCTGAATCCGGATCCGCAACCGCATCAAAATTAAATGGATTCTAAGCAGTGGCTAATGGTTGATAGATTGATTGATTGAGACGACCGTATTTTTCAACATGATGAATAATTCTGTAATGTTTAGTTAATACACCGAGGATCCTGGGTCGAGGCCACATCTGGTATGTATATGGCTAGGAGCGAGGATGTAATAGCATATGTTCGAAACCATAGCGAGGTATGTCGGTTTACAGGCTGTTGAGGGTTTTTACTCGTCCTCAGAAAAATAAATTCTTTTGTTAAAAAAATGTTGTTCAAAGAAACCTTCGGAGTAGTACGTCAGTACAATCTTTGATTGTCTTCGAATAACAGTAAAATCTTAAAATATATATACTTCTGATTTTCATGTGTATTAGGTCAATTTATATATATGATATAGACAGTATATGCAACAAAAAAAAATTCAAAAATATTTAACGATAATATAAAAGCTTTATCAAATAATATTTTTTCAACCTATATCATAAGATATTTAACCTGAAGTGTTAAGATCTGTTTTAAAAAGAATATTTTTTTAGAGTTTACAGGGTGATTACTGCAAGATGAACCAGGTCAACAACAGAGAGAAGTACTTGCAGTGTAAAGATAAGAGAATATCGGTATGTTTGTTATTACATAAAAAATTATTCTCATTCAACCAAGTTACATAGTTAAAAGTCATTTGTATGCAAGTAATCACGTACAATATCTAAATTTAAGAACAAATTATTTCTGACGGAATGATTTGTGTGAAAAAATAAACCCCTGATGCAGGTTTTAATTGATTTTATTGTAGGTTAGTCCTCTGCGTGAATCAATAAAAAGGGAGAGGCCGGTCGAGTACGATCGACCCTTCTCACCAGAACGAAAATATAAGCGTGAACGATCTGCTTCCATGCATCGATCACGATCGCCCAATGATTTTTCAAGGAGTTCACCTGACAGTTTTCGTTCTAGAAGTTCAAGAGATGGGTCAGGATCCTCCAGAGAAGGTTCTAGGAACTCAAGAAGTCGATCCAGTGAGATCAGAGATCGACGGAGATCCTCCCGAGATCGTTTGAGGTCCCCCCGAGATCGGTCTAGGTCCTCGCGAGAAAGGTCTAGGTCCTATCAAGATCCTTCCTCTGCTGCCAGTTCAGGAATTGACAGTCTTGGTGAGGAGAGTAGGTGAGGAGAATATATTACAATAATCCCTCCAGACTGCATTGCGCTTGGGTTTTTCTAGTTATATATGAAGTAAAGGAAATCTGATAATAAGCAATTGGAATTTCAAGTACTAGAGGTGACAACTGGAGAATACGAATACATTTTTAAATAAGTTCTGAAAAGTATGCATATAAATATATTGTTTTGCCATGTGTGTGTGTGTCTCAGCTCACAACATCAATGATATTACTTTTAAGTAAGAAAAAACCTATTAAAAATAAACTCTGTCTATTAAATGTCCTATCTATAAAATATCCCTTCTTTGAAATGTCCAATCTATAAAATGTTCTGTCTATGGAATGTCCTGTATTTGAAATGTGTTGTATAAAATGTAATATCTATGAAATGTCCTGTATATGAAATGTGTTGTATAAAATATAATATCTATGAAATGTCCTGTATATGAAATGTCCTGTATATGAAATGTATAATATCTATGAAATGTCCTGTATATGAAATGTCCTGTATATGAAATGTCCTGTATATGAAATGTTCTGTCTATGAAATGTCCTGTATATGAAATGTCCTGTATATGAAATGTTCTGTCTATGAAATGTCCTGTATATGAAATGTCCTGTATATGAAATGTCCTGTATATGAAATGTTCTGTCTATGGAATGTCCTGTATTTGAAATGTGTTGTATGAAATGTAATATTTATGAAATGTCCCACCACCCACATATTATTTTAGTATGGAAATTAAAACCGAGAGAAGGCCGAGGAAGGACGATCAAACTTCATCCAGAGTTAAAGTAGAATATGGATCTGAACCTGGATCAAGGCTGAATCCAGGATCAGATGAAGATGTCAGTATTCTCAAGGAGAGGGGATCCTTTGACTTTAAAGATGTCTCGAACATTAAACCTGATACACAACCGGCTCAAGTAGATACTGTCGAGGTAAAACCCTCAGACTCGAGGGATCAGAAACACAATTCATATTATTTTGCTCATCTTTGTAGTAGTAATAAGGACCCGTTCCACTTGGAACTGTTTTTTTTTCTGTTCCGGTCTATCAAATCAAATCATACTTTACGCAAGTATGGGGTGGCGTTACTTGGGTTGCTTGAGACATCCTTCCTATGGAGCTCAAGTCCTTCCCACATTCCAGGGTTTCAGCCTGATCTTTAATCAATTATTTTTAGAACTATTTTTGGATATCGGATTTTTTTATGTTTCCCTTTATGCTAAACAGATTTCAAGTATGTACACAGATTGGAAGATTTAAGCGTCAAAAACTTTCCAGAAGAAATTCTCCGCCAATACATTTTTCGAAGTGTGTTACTTATTTTTTTTATTTACATATTGTAAATAAAAAAAATAAAAATCATAAAGGGAAACATCATCAAATTATTTGTTGCCCCATGAAAGTCATATCTAAATAACTGGGGATTTTGAATAGTGATTTGACTTGAAATAACCACATTCTCAAAAATAACTATTTGTAGGGAAATATTTACTATTTAAAACTGTAATGTTTAAGCTATGAATATTTTAGTTCGTAACTGCATTTGCTCCGGAAAAACCGGTTTTATCAGAAAAGGAAATTGTTCTAGACTTTCACAAGTAAGGATAACTTTGAGAAATATAAGTTTTTAAACTTGAAATTAATCTCTGTTAATTTAGAAGAATTAATACTGTAGGAAGCTCTTTTTTGTCCAAAATTTCAAATTTTTGAATAATTTATTTTTCTTAAAATTTTGGTGCACCTTTTACCTTTTTGCGACTTTTTCATTGTTTTTCGTTTTTAGGCAGGTTGCTGATTGTGTTAAAAGCCAGTTGAATAAACACTATCCGGAGTGTGATTATTATGAACCAGGATTTAAACGTATTAGTAAACAAGAATATGTTACCCTCGCTAAATCTTTCAGGAACATTTTAATTAGAATTAACATCAGTGTCAGCAATTTTTATTTTTAAGGATTTATTTTAGTTTTAACTTGTTTTTTTGCTTCTTTAATAGTCGTTTTTATAATAAAAATTAGTCAAAGTAAGCATTTTCTTGAAAAAAATGTGTATATATTTTATCTCCTCGAATTTGTCCCATTTATAAAACTTTTTGTCTCTCTTGTTATCTTTTCTCTTTTTTCCCTTTATTCTTGATTCTCTTTCCTGGATGATTTTAAGTATCATTGAAAAAGAATTTAATAAAAATGTTTAAAGTCATGACTTGAGAGACAAGTTAAAAGCAGCTTACTTAGGTAAGCATAGTTTTTACTTGGTTCTATATTCATCAATTTAATAAAATGTATTCCCAAGTTATCATCAAATATTAATCAATTTAATAAAATGTATTCCCAAGTTATCATAAAATATTAATCAATTTAATAAAATGTATTCCCAAGTTATCATCAAATATTAATCTTGAATTAATCATTTGATATAAGCCAAGGTTTGGAACATAAGAGTTTTGAAACAAAAGCGATGAAATGTTATCGTTTCTTCTAAGATAATGTTTGTTTTTAGATTACAATCAAAGTTATGAGGGTCTAACTATGATATCGTTTCTTCTAAGATAATGTTTGTTTTTAGATTACAATCAAAGTTATGAGGGTCTAACTATGATATCGTTTCTTCTAAGATAATGTTTGTTTTTAGATTACAATCAAAGTTATGAGGGTCTAACTATGACATCCGACTATAAAACCAGTATCACGGTAAGCTGTTGCTATAGAAGGAAAATTTATTTATTCATCATCCCCCCCCCCCCAGAAAAAAAACAGTCAAAAATTCTAATTTGGGTTAGAAGCTGCAATATGGCTTCAATTGATCAGAGTTTTGACATATTAAAGAACAACTTGAATCGTAGATTACTTTACATTAAAATTTTTTAAGTGCAAATTAAGCTTTCGTTATAAAAATATTAAATTCAAGAAATTCTCATTATATAGATATATATATATATATATATATTTATCATTAAAGTACATAATTTTACTTAGATATATTCTTTAATGACGGGATTTGCCAAGCCAACATTGGCCGTCTTTATTCGCAAACCTAGATGTTATTGTATGATATAATTTTTATATCATACAATTGGAGGTGTTTCGTCCAATAGGTAGGGGAAGGTAAAAGGAAGAGAGAGGGGGGGGGGTTATGTAGCTCAATCAGAATCAAAAGCTAGCTCAGAACTTAGGATTGCACATTTATTTATTCAGAAATACATGAATTACAGTTTGATCTTGAACATTCAAATTGCAGATACATATTTGTTTTATCCACATACAATCTATTTTTTAACGAGTTTAAAGAACAGGAGTTTTTTATTTGTAGTGACAATAAATTCCGTATTTGTGGTAGGAAAACTTTAGGAAACTGTTCTAATTCTTTTCTGTTGGTCTTTCTAATCTTAAGCATATTGTTCGGTTTTGATGAGACAAAGCACAAAACATATTATTAAACGATTCAGGAAACCGTTCATTGAAGTATTTGTACATAAAAATTAAACCTTTCAATTGAAGAATATCATGCAGTTTCAAAATATTCAGTTTTCCAAAAAGTGGAATTGTATGCGCTTTGAAGCTTTTATAGCCTTTTTTTCTTGATTTTTTTTATTCTTAAAGCATCCCAACATGTTGTTCCAAATTCCATGCGACTTTTAAAAAAGTGTATTGTAAATAGTTTTTCTTATTTTTACAGGTAGTATATTTTTTACGCTATTTAGAGCAAAGTATGAACTAGATAACTTTTTATTTAGTTCAATAAGATGATAATCCCATGAGAGATGTTCATCTAGATGTAATCCTACAAATTTAAAAAACTTTTCAGATCTTCCCTTATTCTATTAATTCATACTCCACCAATCCTAACATCTGGTAAAGTGGAAGAGATGTTCATGCTTTTCTTTCTAAACATGATGTACTTTGTTTTTGGGATATTTAATGTTAGTTTATTACTTTTGAACCAAAGTGCTGCCTTACTAAGTTTAATATTGGATCTTTCTATAAGATCAAATTGACTTATGTCTGACATAAACAATCTTGTATCATCCGCAAACAGGGATGTACAAAATTCAGATGCGTTCGGTAAATCATTTATAAATAAAAGAAACAGAAGAGGTCCTAACACCGGTCCTTGAGGTATATTCCAAGAGGAGTTATGAGAATCATTACCACATTTTCATTGTATTTCAACTTACAGGTCGTTGTACTTTGTCTGTAGGTTGATTGTTAATAATAATAATAATATAAACATAAACATAAACATTCTTATTTAGCCTTACTATATTTTCTGTATAAAAAGTATATCTTAATTCTTGAGTTAATGTCTAATTGATTTTTTTGTTTAGGTTGAAATACAATCTTATTTTGACCGCCAGCGGTAGTATACAAAGATTTACTTGACCGCCAGCCAGCAACGGTAGTACAATCAATCTCAACCTCATCAGTCACGCTGGAATCTAAAGATTGATTCGAACTCTTGTTCACATAACTACTTAGAGACAATGGAGATAATTGATTTTTTTTTATGATCTATAGTCGTTATCACAGTCTGTAGCCTTTCACAGTCTTATGCTTTACCCTGGTAATAATACACCTACTCCGAAACTACGAAATTCAACTCCTTCCAATCTACAGACTTATCAATGTGTTACGTGCAATTCCATTTCCTTGCAACTGCAATAAATATAGTTTCGAAAAATTGGGAAACTTCAGGGATGTATATTTCCTAAAAAATCATTCCCCCTTTTAGAAAATCATTTTTGTTCCCCAGAATTCATACATGGTTGCACGAAGCGTTAGAATATTTTTAGTGGGTTTGCATTTCCCAAGAATTTCTTTTTTCTTTTTGTGTAGTTGTGTAGTTGACTATAATGGCTAAAACTTTTGAAATCTTCTGAACGTATAGTAGCGGGGAGGAAGACAATGTGTAAACCTGTTCAGTTGTGGTTTGAAACTTCTTTTTTATGTTTGAAAGGAATTGTTATATCTTTACTCTTCCTTTATGCTTTATGTTGTTTTCTTTCCATTTACAATTTTAAAAATCTATTTTTTATTATTTAATTTTAAGTATTGTTGGCTGTTAAGTGCAGTGCAATGTTTTATTTTTTTTTACTTTTGTTAAATATTATAATTATTTTGGAAGATCATGCTCAATGGTAATTAGTATGATAGCAATGCTCGAATCTCTGTTCACAAAGAGAAATTATTTTAATTGGTTTCAATGTTAGATGACATTGCTAATTGTTATGGATATACATTTATGATGCGTGGAGTCTTCAGCATAAGCATTTATTCCCGTTCTTACTTATTGTACATTTATTTTTACCTACAAATTAAAGTATGTTTTGTTATTTGGCAACAAAATTAAAGTTTTTAATCATGATTCGTAATTGTATATCATATAATTGATGATGCACAAACCTTTCCTTGATTGTAATAAAATTGTATATGAAACACAACTTATTAATTTCAGATGAATTATGATGGACGAATAATAATTAAAAATGATGAGTCCAGTATTCCTGAAGATTTTAGAAAAATCACTCAAACATTTATTTCCAACCCAAGGTATGGTCTAGGTTTTTAGATATCAGATCAGAGGATTGAAAACCTTGGCTTAGAATTAAATAAAATCCGTTTTGTTTCTTCCTTCAGAAAGCATTAATCCGTATCTTTTGTGGTTCAATGGATTAGAGTAAATCATGTAGAATAAGTTATTGTAATTTTTAGGCAAAATCTATATTTATAAAGTAGTAATCTCTAGTTGTTTGTTTGTATGTCCGATCAAAACTCAGCAACCCCTTGACTGATTTGCGTCAAATTTTGATTGGGGAATCACAGAAATGTTTCATAGCTTGGTTTTGAGATTCTAAATTGAGTGGGTCCACTTTTACAGGAAATAATAGTTAAAATCGTAATTTACGACCAGGCGCGGGTAAACGGCGGAAGTATCTATGAGAACGCTTGGTACTGAAGCTAGTATGTAATGTTTATGTATGCCGGGGGAAATTAGTCAAATTATAATTGATAGTTTTAGTTACAGATATAAATAGAATACAATCATATTGGCTCATTCAAATTGAACCAAGATTAGGGTTTTACATTTTTGGGAAACAAGAACCGACTCAAAGTCTCTATGTTTAACTTATAATTTCATTTAAACTTGAAAATAATCTTACATATTATATTAGATTATCTCCAAGTTTTAACGCCAAAATAAACTAGAAAAACTTAGCATTTTCCACAAGAAAATTCTTATATTAGCCTTATTCTATTATTTAACTTTAGCTTTATTAAATTTTAAGACCTATTGACGATCTAATATGATGTGGGACACCCTGTAGTTTAATTTTGATTTACGGTATGATTTCATCTTTACACACTTTTCTGTTAGTATTTTTAGGTTAGATTTAGTGTCTTTTAACTCCTTGAGTCCTTGTCTTTTTTTTTTACTGAAATTCATATTAATTAGGCGTTATTTAGAGTAATGTTAGTGGTGTGCATAGTAGTTGTATTTTCACATTGGATACCCGTGTAGCCTACGTTAAACTGGATAATGTTTCCCTGATAAATCAAAATCTAAAACGGACTGTTAGAACAATTTCAAGTGATCCTTCATGTAAAGAGGGTAATGCCTGATCCACAACAGTATCTTTGAAACGTAACCTTTATCTGATCAATAAGGTGGAAGATATTATCGTTTTTTTTAGCTTCAAGTGTTAAATTCTGATAATTTAAAGATGATTTTCTGCAGTAGAAATATTCTTATCATTTTTTTAGAGAATTGAAAATAATCAGTTTTCAAAATTATGAACATACATATCTGCTTCATACTTAATCAGACAAAGCTTTTAATGGTACAGTTGTAAATTGAGCATAGCCCTCTTTGCATGGAGGGTCACTTGGAATTACGATTACAGTCTCAATAACTGAGATCAATTCTCACGAGCCACATTAGTGTATCCTATGTCTTAAGTCTTATAGCAGTAATATCGGATAATGCTTATTTTTAACTTACATTTCCTAGACCCGACGTTGAAGCAACCGTTGTCACCAAATCCCACATAATAGGTAAAAAAGGTTTTCCTTCTTTTTTTAAATGTGTATATTTATGTTGATAAGAGTAGAAACGCTTTTATACTCTTATCACACTTATGAATATTTTTTTCCATGATTTAATCATTTTTCAATGATTTAATCATTTCAGAGCTTAAAAACGGAATTATTTGGCGAACATCAATTCTACCTGAAGATTTACCGAGCATTGACAAGATTGATGTTTACCACGGAATAGGTAGGTTCTGTTAAAAAATAACCATTATTTTTTTGTTTGAAAACGTTGGCAATTCAGATAGCTACTGGAGTTTAGCAGCATTCTTAATTATCTCTAAATCTAAATTGAAATTTTTATTGAACCTATGTTTATTTTTTTTTGATAAATTACAAAAAGAAACTTTGATAAGATTTTTTAAAATTTTAAAAAAGAAATAAAAGAATAAATAAATAATGTTACTGATAAAAACTACTTTACAGCGAAGTTAAGTGAACTTTACTTTTCCAATGGTTTCCAATATACAAAATTCTTCTAGGGGCCCCGTGGTTAAATAGAATTTAGAATTATCCGGAAAAGTGTTTCTGATCTCGATATCCATTATAGGCACTTTTGAATTTTACGAAGTATCTGCTCGGCTTCTGATTGGCTGTTCATTTTCCACACTTCGCGGGATATCGAACAAAGATTAAACAATAAACAATCTGTATATTAACAAAAAATCAATGCTTTATCTCTATATCCTCAAAACGGAAGTTCCAACTTCAGTTCCTGTTTTGACGTGCTCTCCTCTAGAAGTTGATTCAGATATACGTTGATAGTTTCTCCGCCAAGGTCCTGCATCATGCAAAAATTAAGTGGCGGGTCAGGTCATCATTTATTATTCTGGATCCATGGCTGTATTTCTATGCTCATCATAACTGTTTTTAATAGCATATAGGGTCATGGACCCCTTTACTGCCTCAGGCAGTTGGTTCCAGCTTTAACAACTCTAATAGAAAAAAAGTTTTTTCTTATGTCCAGGTTTGTTCTCTTCATCTCCAGGTTGAATATAGATGAATTCAACCTTGTGCTAACTGCAGAAGCTGTATCTAACCTAGTAAACCAGGTTTTTTCGCAAACATCATATGCTGGTGCAATATTTTCCAGGTTTGTATCATGTCACCTCTTCTTCTTCTCTCCTCTAGGGAGGGTAAGCCTAATTCTTTCAGCTTGTCATGGTAGGTTCCTGGCTTCAGTCCTGCTGTCATTCTCACAACTCTTTTCAGGACATCCTCAAGGAGGTCAATATCCTTCTGGTTCCAGGGTGACCATGCTTGGACAGCATATTCTAGATTAGGTCTCACATAAACTTGGTACAGTCTTATCCAATCGTATTTGTCTCGGTATTTTTATTATTATTATTATTATTATTTATATTTTGTTAGGTTGGTTTTATGTTCTGGAGTGTGAAGATATCCTGGTTCTTATCTCTTGCTCCGATCTTACTGAAAGGAGAAGGTTTAGTGAAGTCTCAAGCTACAGGTAGAACTATCTACAATCAGACAATATTCAATTTCATGAAATTCACAAAATATTAGTTTAGTTCATGCATTTATTCCATATTGACGAATTCCATCATATGAAAAGAAACAAATGTCCTACAATAATTGTTTAAAACCCTCAGTGCTTCGTTTGGGATAATAAGATTACTACATTTCTGATTAGGCTGACCTAAAAACCTAATTAATTCTATTTTCAGCTTAGCTTCTTATCTTAATTTTTAGAATAGGAGATTTCTTGAATATAAACAGATCCCTTCTCTTTCTTCATGTAAGGTAGGATTTATTATTTTATTTTCATTTTTTTTCTATTTTTCTTCGTCCATTTTTGTATATTTATCAAACAGGGGTGTTATATTTTCTTGAAAAATAATTTTTTTTCCTCGCTCTCATTTTTCACCCAGAAATTAGGTGTGTTTATTACTAAAAAATATACACCCCTGTTTTTAAATAAAGAGAAACTTAATAAAATAAATCCTCAAAATTATTGATGAAGATTATCCCCATCCAAAAAAAAATATATCGCTAAAAAATTTTAGATTTTTAATAAAAAAAATCTTTAAGACTTGATGACTCAATTCTTACTGATGGGAACACAGACTTCGACACTGCACAGGTAGAAATATCATATTTAAATCCATTGTAGCTGATACTTTTTAATTCAAGGAATTGATTTTAAAAGGATTAAAAAAGTTTTTTCTAATTTACTTATTTCCAAATGTTTAAGATGAAAGACAATAGAATGAGTCGGAACACACAAAAAAACCGATTTAAACTAGTTCCGCAAATTAAAAAGTCATATTAAAAACATTGTTATTTTTTAGGTTTGGCCTCCTTCAGCCGAGCAGAAAAAGCTTCAGAAAACTTTAAAACAAAGACTTGATATTACTAGGTAGCAAGCCACCCCCCCCCCCAACGAATAAAATATAGAACCTAAATCCTGCAAGCTTCTTTATTACTTACTAGATAAAGGGCTCGGCGTTAATGCCCGTGGATAAAAAAATTTGATTTGTTTTTAGCCTATTCCAGCTGTTTGGTTGGCCAGAAGGAACATATATATGAATGTCTTGTTTTATTATATAGAAGATTTTTGATACTGCATAAAATGTACTTTTTTCTCTCAAAATTGGCAATAAAATATTTACGACATTTTGGAGATTAATATTTTTTTTTTTTTTTCTATTTTCATAAATCTTTTTCTTTAATTTTATTTGAATTTAAAAGTTTTCTTACAATTTAAATTAAAATTTTCTTAGATCCGTCTTTTTATTTTAGAAGAGGGCTGGAGAGTTCAAGAAATGAATTGAATGCAACAAAACTTTTTATCCAAGAAACAATCAGGGAGCGAGAAGAACATTATTAACCTGTGATAATATAACCGATTAATTAATTAATTATTAATTAATTTTTATGCAAGTTGGTTTAGTTTCAGATAGTTAAAGGGGAAACTTGTGTGTCAGGTCTTAAATCTCTGCTGAATGTCAAACACAAAATTATTATGATTATATAAGTTAAAAAAAAATTCTAACGCTCAGAAGACTTTCTGCATCAGCTTATAATGTTCAACCTATTAAGGAAAACAAATATATTTACCATTCAACATTTTATATAATTAGTTAGGTTGGGTAATGAGTTTCAAAGATTTTTTTTTGGAGGGGGAGTTTATAAAAATCGTACATTTTTTACCTCAAAATTTTGTTATTTCCAATTCAGCAATAATAACTCCAAAAAAAATTTCCGCGCAAACATTTCAAATATTGTGAACATAAATGTTTTGAATGTGGTGTGGCTGGGGCCGAAGGGAATCGGGGAAAGCATTTTATATTTTTAGTATTTGATATATTTGTGGTCTGCAACAGGAAAGCTCCTTGCAAAACCTTGTAAATTCAACCCAGAAGAAGGAACAGGATAAAGAGCTGCATCAGCAATCTGCTATTAAGGAACAGTTAATATTAAATCTATAATAAATGTAAAACCTTGATGTTCAACCTAAAATAAAAAATTTAAATGATGATTGCATTGATATTTCCTTAAAAATTATGTTCCAGGAAAAATGTTTAATGTCTTAAAATTGTACAATATGATGAGTTACTCTCCAATGGCGTATACAGGGGGGGGGGGATAGGTTAGTGTCCCTTCTGGACTTCCCCTAAAAATCTCATATTCTACCTCTGACACTGAGTTGTGTTTTCACCATGTCCCCCCCCCCCCTTTAAATCCTGTAATACGGCCTGGTATACAGGGGGGGGGGGATAGGTTAGTGTCCCTTCTGGACTTCCCCTAAAAATCTCATATTCTAACTCTGACACTGAGTTGTGTTTTCACCATGTCCCCCCCCCCCATTTAAATCCTGTAATACGGCCTGGTTTTTTTCTGTTAAAGACTTTATTTAAAACGAATAGAACATGAAATTAATATTGTGATAAAGTTTGGTTTGAGCCGGGTTCGTGTTGTTGGGAAGAACCTGATAATCCTGGTAGATATTGAGACCCTGGATCCTGTTCAAGGGTTGAGGTTGGAACTATTGAGTAGGGAGGATACATGTATAGAATATAGAGCAACTTGTTTAGTTCTCAGGGATACAACAGATACAGTTTAGACAAGATTATTCAAATAAAATGAAATTTAGTATTTCAAGAAAAATGTGTTTATTAAATTGAGTTTTAAGTGCTGTCATTGTTTTTCTGTCTCAAAATGACATGCGTATTTACTCGGCTGAGAGAAGGAATGAGTCCGGCCGAATTCGACATAAATAAAGATAGAAAAATGACAATACTTTTTCTCATAGTTGCTCCGATAAAGGGATAAAGAATACCTTAGTGAATCGAGCATGCCACGTTTCTAAAGGAAGAGTCATTTGAAATTATGTCTAATTTCCCTTGAAGTCCCTTACGAGTGCTATATAAAATTATTTTTCACAGTTACTATTCAAACCTTTATCTGCTGTTGAGGAATCTGATCAATGTATGAACCTGTCGATTTAAACATAGCATTATCGTTTTATATTTTTTTACAATTGGTTTCCTAAATTAACTATATGTTTCGTCTTACTCCTATCTGTTGGTATTACAGTAACCAAGATGGTCGGTTGTATCCGGAGTTTTGTGAAAAGCTCGGAGATAACGAGAGAGGAGTTGGAGTTCTTATTCTTCCTCAATCCGTCCTTGCTTGCTTCAGATCTCATTCGTTATCTTTATCTCTCACAGTGAACCATAATCAAGGAAAACTTCTAAATAAAATGTCAGATTTATTTTTCATAAGAAAATTATTTACGTACTGAATTATTTCACAAATAAGTTATTGGAATTTTCCAAGTTTCCAGACATGCAGACCCAGTTAGTAAAAATTGTAAGTGAGTGTCGTAGATTTTGTAAGCGAAGTAAAATAACAAATATCCTTCGGTAAAAAGTAAAATTATGTTAACCCCAATTTTGCCCCTTCAAAATTACTCGAACTAACTGAAATTGTCATTATTGAGCCTTAGCCGTTCTTTTTAGAGCGACGTTAAATTTGATTAAAAATATTTAGAATAAGTACCGAGAAGGTAGATCATCAATAGAGCAAATAGTTCTGCAGACGGATCAATTGTTAAACGACCAGCCAGTTCTTAATCCTCTCTCAACAGAATTTTTGCCAGATTTCCTCGCATTTTTTGTTAACGGAATCCGGGAAAAACTGGAGATCTCAACGGAACTGGGAACACTAGAGAGTTTTCATAAAATAATTCCAGATTTAGGATTCGAATCTTTTCAACTTGGAACAAGTAAAGGATACTTTTGCAGGTATTAATTTTGTTTCTTAATTAGTCTTTTTATTTTTAATTTAATTTTTTTAATTAGGGATCCTGGGAAGTATTTCTATGGAACTTTTATACTTAATACCTCTAAATCATTTCAGGTTTGTTTCAAAAATATTAAAATGAAAAAATGAAAAATTTTAAATTTTGATATTAATAATTGTTTTATTTTCAGAGAATGTTTGTTGATATGTACTGTAGAGACTATTCTACCCTTGGAACTATTGTTAAACTAATGAGATCTAAACTGCCCTGTGATACTAAGATAAAACAAAGATGACACGTTTCAGAAAAATGACAACTGATGCAGCTAGTAGGACAGAATGCCCGTTCAAGCAAAAATGTTATAGAAAGTATGCTTAACTATTTAATTTTTGAAAATTGTTAAATGTATGTATGACGGTTAAATAAAAAACATATTTAAGGAAAATTGTATTTTAAGAAAAATTACACATTTTTCTTTGAGACAAATAAAGATTTTGTTTCAGGAACCCGCACCATTTTAAGGAATTCAAACATCAACACTTACATAACTTGTTGAAGCAGTATCCAGATCACAAAGTGGACAAGGATACAGGGATAGGGATAGAAAATATTAAGGAACAACTTAAGGTTTATGAAGACATAGAAAAGTTCTTCTTATGGGCGGAGCATAAAAAGCAAACCAAGAAAAGATCAAGGTCCAAATCTCCGGAGGCACAGAGGAAAAAAGAATTAAAAGTTGACCCTGCTATAACAGCACAAACTGTCCTGTCTGAGACTAGGACTGAGTCAGCTCAAGTAAACTCTGAACAAACTGGAAAATCTGAATCCTCTAAGGAAGGAGGGCCTCTCTGTTTGATTGAACAGAAGCTAGAGGCTGCCAAGCCGTTCAACTTCTTCTTGACAAAGGAAAACATTATTTTTTCCCCCAATTCTGAAAATCTGTTTTTAAAAAGTTTGATATTTTTGAAAAAAATTATAGTTATGAATCCCGTTTTTGATGAAGCTGGGGGTTTTCGAAGAAGCACAGAAAGTCATTTTGTTCGCATATGCTTTAAATTGAAAACTCCTTTTTTTGGATTATATTATGTTTTCTGATTACGATTTATTCGAATTAAATAAAATATGGAATGTTTTTCTTAGATAAAAGATAATCCTGCTACACACAAGGATATGATCAGGCATTGAGTTTTTTTCATAACATTCATTATACATATTTATGAACTTTTTCGTTAAAATCAAATCAAACCAAGACCATACTGCTCCTAAGCTCAATCTATATATGTTTAAAATATGTTTTTTCATTGCTATGCCTGGTTTTAGTGTTTACTTGACAGATCTCATGCATCCTAGGCTAGGCAAACTGAAGTCTAGTCTTCAGGTAATATTTACTTTATTCAAACCTAGTCGGTAACTTTTGGTTGAGAACGAAATGAAGTTATGTCTTAAGAAATCTTAAGAGATTACCACTTCAGGTAAAGAAATTTGATACCTGTGATGTTGACATTCTACTGAGCAAGCTTGAACTTTATGGATTTCGTGGGACTTCTAACTTATGGTTCAAAAATTATTTAAAGGGAAGAAAACAATTTACTTCAATTAGGGGTGTTGACTCTTCACTTAAAGAAATCTCTTGTGGTGTACCACAAGGGTCGATATTAGGACCAATTTTATTTCTAATTCTTTTTAATGACCTTCCTAAAGCATCAAATTTTTTACAATTCTTTTTGCCGATGATACAACACTGCAACTTTCTTCAAAAAGCTTACACGACTTATATGATTTGGCAAATTTTGAGCTCTCTAAAATAGGAGATTGGTTTAAAGCAAACAAACTGACTTTGAAGGCGTCTAAAACCAAATTTATTCTCTTCAAAAATAAAAAAGAAGATGTAAGTATCACCTCGCTTAAACTTCAAATAGATAATAAAGATATAGAAAGAGTAGGAACTGGATGCAAAAATGAATCTTTTAAGTTTGTAGGTGTTCATTTAGACGAAAATCTTAACTGGAACCATCATCTTAAGGCGGTTAAAAACAAAGCATCCAGTGCAGTTTTTGCTTTGTCAAGTGTAAAAAATATTCTTCCTAGTAATATTAAACTAACCATTTACAACTCTTTATTTCGATCATTTATTGAATATGGAATTTCAGCCTGGGGATGTAACAAATGTTCAGAAATGAAACAAATTCACAGTTTACAGAAACGAGCAATACGATTAATTGATAACTCAAAAGCCACGTCTCATAGTGATCCTCTTTTCCTTAAGTATAAGATTCTAAAGATTAATGATCTGGTAGACTTTAACCAAGCTATATTTATGTATAAATATACACATAAACTTCTTCCTTCATCTTTTGAAAATATTTTTAAAAAGCTTGGAACCTTTGAAAGATCTCTTAACTATCAACTTGACATTCTCAAAATGTGCTCATTACAGTATTTACCATCAAGCTCTCTTCTTAAGATGTGGAATAACCTGCCTCTTGACTTAAAAAGAAGCAACTCTCTAAGTATATTTAAAAATAGACTACTAAATTCTCTTTTTGAAAATTATAGGACAATGTGTTATAAACCGAATTGCTATTCATGTAAAACTAATGAGATATGTTTTAATATGCTTTGATATTTGTTGTGTACATGTCAGAAAATTACTTTAAACTCTAGTTATTCGAATTAATGTATAAACTATTTTGCATATGATAAATTTGCACCCTGATCTCTAATCGTTCTCCTTAAATCTATTTAATTGAAATATTTTGTTATTATTACTAAAATTAGGTGGAAAAAATAATCAATTTTCCACCTAATTGCTTTATACTTGTACTGTTAATATAATCATCAATTTTGTGATTGTAAACTCTATCTGTATACAGATACATTTATTTTAGCAATAAACTTTATCTTATCTTATCTTATTACCAATCCTGACATTAGATTGGATGAAGTTTGAAAAAATGCCAAAACGTGGACAAACAGATTTTGAAGCAGATTTGAAGGGAATTGTTAATGTAATTTCAAGTGACCCGCCAAATGTAGAATGTCCGAATTAATTCGGAATCCTTTAAACCTTTTTCCGAGCAATGATGACATAGATTTCCTTATTTTATATCTGAAATTAAAGTTTCGGAAGACTCGAAGTTACAATGTGCACTACGTGCTGATGTACAGTCGTGGATTCCCGGCATTGAACTTTCAGCTATATAAGTAATCCTTAATCATAGAAAGGTTTGAAGTGTACCGTTCTTTGTCGGACATATCAATCTATCAATGGAGCGTCAATTGAAATTACACCTAAAGGCCCTTTAAGAGAGATAGGAAATTGAAACATCTGGAGTTTTTTAGAACCGAGGTTAGTCAGTGCCGTCAATAGGAAAGTTCCTGGCTCTGGTCTAATCTTTTAGCTTATGTCAGGTTAATTTAAAACAATTTTTTGTTTTAGATAAACTTCATGGTCGAGTTAGATTGGTTGATGATGAATTACGAAGCGACAAAAAATGACAAAAAACCTTTGGTGATACTGTATGGCGAGGTATAAAACTAAAAAATGTTAGTTTAAAAATACAAAATTCCCTTACAATAATTCTTAAAATAAATATGAAATTGACGCTTCAGTTTAGGTCGCTTCTTCTGTCAGTTTCTGTTATTATTATTTTCTTTATATTGGATGATTTTTTTAAAATTTTGATTTAATTGTTGTAAATAATTATAATTATAATGTTAAAAAAAATATTTTTTAAGGAGAACTCGGATTTAAGTTCTAATAGTTTACAGGCAAATATCAGGGCTGTCAGGGTTAAACCTAAATATCCCTTTGGAACCCACCACACTAAGGTTTGTAAATAAAATATTTAAATAGTATTAGTAAAAGATTTAATCCTTTTAAAGAAATTTTTAAAATTTAATTTAGTTTAGGAAAACGAAAATAAAAATAATAATAATAATAAACTTACTTTCAACTTTCATCCCTTGAGGTGTATGAAATAAGTTAAAAAACTTCTTTAAGGTGGGTTAATCAATCTTTTATATGCATAAAGTAGTAATCTCTGTTTGTTTGTTTGAATGATACCCTTGACCGATTTGTCTTGAACTTTTGTTGGGGATCACTTGGTAGAATTATGAGAATGTTAAACAATTTTAAGTTGAGTTTGATTTTTAGAGAGAAAAATTTATTTCCAAACCAAGTTGTTATTGAAGTTTTATTTTTGGCGGTGTCGGTCAGTCACCAATGAGTCAATCCTAGTAGATAAAGTAGTAAAGACTGACTGCATCTAAACGGGTTTATAAAGTGGTCTAATATAAAAAAAGAAAAACATTGCGTACTGTAAATATAAAATGGGAAAAGCCATCAAAAGTAAACCGCTACAGATTTAAAATTAAATGTTTCCAGATGATGGTGTTTGTGTATGAAGATGAGAGTGTGAGGGTTGTGGTGCACACAGCCAACCTTGTGGGTTCAGATTGGGAGAATAGAACACAGGGGGTCTGGGTTAGCCCTAGGTTAGTTATATTAGTAAGTCAATTTTTTTAGTTTTCTTTCATATTTTGCATTTTTATTTTTTATGATGTTATTGACTTTAGTTGGTGACTTTTCTCACATTGAGTCTGAGGGCCTATTAACTTTTTCTGTCAAAAAACAAGCCACCCACTCTAGGATCCTTTCAATAATTTAGCATTATTAGGTTAAATACGAGAAAAGAAAAAAAATTTATTTTGAAGGAAAAAAAGAGAAAGTAGTGAGCAAACCGGTTTGTTTTCTAACTTTTTAAATTGTCCAGGTGTATGAAGTTGAACAGCTCAGAGTCTAAAGGAGAATCCCCGACCAACTTCAAGTCATCTCTCATCAAATACCTTAAATTCTATGAAGTAAGTTACTTGAATTAAAAAAACAGGGATTATTTTTTTTAATTAGTATTTCTTATAACTTTAAAATTCACGAATGATTTCAGTTTATTTGCGGGTAAATATGATTTAATTTTTTGGAGAGAAAAAAATGTAGATAATGCTTGACAGTTTTTGGTTGAAACGACTTTATTGAACTATAGGTGTCTGCTGTCCATCAGTTTATCGATGCTATCTCCACTTGTGATATGTTCTAGGTGTCTGCTGTCCATCGGTTTATCGATGCTATCTCCACTTGTGATATGTTCTAGATGTCTGCTGTCCAACAGTTCATCGATGCTAACTCCAACTGTGATATGTTCTAGGTGTCTGCTGTCCAACAGTTTATCGATGCTATCTCCAACTGTGATATGTTCTAGGTGTCTGCTGTCATCAGTTCATTAATGCTATCTCCAACTGTGATATGTTCTAGGTGTCTGCTGTCCATCAGTTTATCGATGCTATCTCCAACTGTGATATGTTCTAGGTGTCTGCTGTCCATCAGTTCATTAATGCTATCTCCAACTGTGATATGTTCTAGGTGTCTGCTGTCCATCAGTTTATCGATGCTATCTCAAACTGTGACATGTTCTAGGTTTCTGCTGTCCATCAGTTCATTGATGCTATCTCCAACTGTGATATGTTCTAGGTGTCTGCTGTCCATCAGTTCATCGATGCTATCTCTAACTGTGATATGTCTGCTATCAATGTTTTCTTTGTTGCGTCTGTTCCTAACTCGCACAGAGATGGAGATATCTACAGGTTAAATGAAAATATATTGAGTTCAACCGTGTATATATTTTCTGAAAAATCTCCCTTCCCCTCCTAGCCAACAGATCAAAGAATTTTAACTTGGAAAAGGATCTTTTTCAGTATTTTAAGGATCTTATAGGTAAAGAATCTTGTTAAGTATCAAGTATTAGGCTCAAGTCGCCACTATTTACATTTTCACTTAACAAATTAAATCTAAAGAAAATGTTAAGGTGGGGACACCGAGCAGTATCAAAGATTCTTAAACAGCATGTTTCAGAGGTAAACAATAATAATAATACATTATTTTAAAAAGGAATTATTATTTTTAAATAAATGAATTAAGGAGGCTCGACGTTGGCCAGTAAAGGTTCAGTGCTCAAGTATCGGTAGTTTGGGAAATTCTCCGGACCAGGAATGTGTCTTCAGAAAAATTACAATTTTAAAGTAAAAAAGAAAGTTTAAGGATTTCATAATATTTTTTCGCGCATTTTAAAATTTTACAAAAATTGCACTTTTTTACATATTAACTTTTTTATCGGATCTGAATTTCACTAGCTAACTAGGTGAATTTTAAACCACTTTAAATTTGTCATTTTTAAAAAAATTTAAATAATAAACTTGATTATTGTAAAAACGAAATCTATAAGTAATTAGTTTAATCTAAACCATAGAATTTTCACGTCCCATAACTTAATGATTAAAATTACTTAAAAGTTTCTAAAGACACATATTTGGTTAGTGGTTTGAACATGAGCTGGGGAGAAGTTTATCTTGTTACAACGGAACCTCGGGAGCCTTTCCCTCTTCTGGGCAGGTATATTATTATTATTATCATTTTCATTATTATTGTCAATCTGCAATTCAGTTTGGACCTTCTTTATGTTTGCTGGAGCTTTTTTTTCATGATTTTTTGATCAAGTGTTGTTTCTAGATGGAGTTAATATATCCTTCACATAATGACGTGATGTCCTCGTATGACGGACCTCTAGGCGGAGGTTGTCTCCCCTATAGACAGCAGACACACAGTAAACAACCCTGGTTAATAGATCATATGTATAACTGGAGAGCAGCTGCTAGTGACAGGTGGACTTTCAGAAAGCTCTAGGAAATCATGTGCTCTATAATTTTGCTCAATGTAAAATGTTGAGTCTGACAGAAGAATTAAGCCTGAACGATTTTCAAATCGTTTATCAGTAACGATGGCTTTGAGTCGTTTTTCAGAGTCACCATTTTGCAAAATTTCATAACGCAAAATTGTAAAGAATAGAATTTGTAGAGTGTATCCACCCTAAATTCAACTAACCTTAAGTGTTAAAAAAACGGGTCAAACAAGATGCCTAATACTTCTTATAATTTCGTTAAGTCCCGGAAAAAAGTTTATATTATTTATTTTTTAAAGAAAAATAGATGAATTGTAAGCAAAATGTCAAATTTCATTTTTAATAAAAGCCTGCCTTTTACCTTTTACCATCTTCAGTATTATTTCAGTTTATTTTGTTCAGGACTCGAGCTATGCCACACATAAAAACCTATACCCGACTGGATTCAGATAACGAGAAGATGGCATATTTTCTGCTCACATCTGGTTAGAAATATAAATTCTTTCTCCACATATCGTTAGAAATGTTTAATATTCTCTACTCACATCTGGTTAGAAATTTTTAATATTTTCTACTCACATCTGGTTAGAAATATTTGATAATTTCTCTCACATTTGGTTAGAAATATTTAATATTTATTCCACACATCTGGTTAGAAATATTTAATATTTTTTCCTCACATCTGGTTAAAAATATTTAATATTTCTCTTCACATCTGATCTATAAATGGCTGAATTAAACGTCGTACCCAAAACTTTTTAGAAAAATTGTGAAAAATTTAAGTTTGATTTTAAGTAGTTTCGCCCCCCCCCTTCCAAAAAAAATAATATTTATTGTTTTAGCGAACCTATCTAAGGCTGCCTGGGGAAGTATGAACAAAGCCGGGAACAGCTGTATGATAATGAGCTACGAAGCTGGGGTTCTCTTTATTCCAAAGTTTATTACAGGTATATGACGGTCATGTTCATGTCCAATTTAATGTTTATGTTTATGTTCAATCGCATGTTCAAATTTAAGATTTAATATTTGTATTCAATATTAAATGCTCAATGCTTTTGTTCTTTATTCAAATGAAAAGGAAAAAGTTGACACATGTAAAATGTACATGAGAAAAAAAATCCCCTTAAGATATACATTGTATATTTTAAGGAAAAGTTTTTGTTTAAGGTAACTCATTAAAAGTAGTTCTTTTCTAATTATACTGCTAATCCCTTTAAGGTGAGAATTTATTCTCTGTAAGTGGGTTTGAATCCAGATTATCCGGGAGCTCCAGGTTTCCTCTTCACTATGATCTGCCACTTCAAAAGTATTCAGGTAGGAAATTATTTATTGTTAACAAAAAAAAAAGATTTGAAAAGAAATTTCATCCAACTTTTGTTTAATTTCAAATTATATTTTCTTAGAAACATGCATATTGCATAATATTTGTATCCCCCTTATTTTATTTTTTTTTAATGTTTATTTTTATTCTAGGATCAGAGAAACCTTGGCTCTATGACTTTCTTCTCTCATGAATCTTTCTAGAAGATTCCGAAGAAGCAGAAAAATTGATAGTTCAAAAAAATATCATTCATTAATAATAAAAGTTTTCTTGGTGGTGCGTATTGCACGATAACTATTTATGAATTTATATTTCCAGAAAAAAAATGAAAATTGAAGAGTTTCGAAGTTGTCTGGTTCATTTTAAGAACTTCCTCCATGTTGATGTATCCCCCCTGAGTACGCTACTGATTCTCAAGGAACATATGCCTTGGTTCAAAGTACAAATGCTTTGTCAAGCTGACACAGGTATTCAGGATTTGATTTGACCCATACTTTGTCAAGTATACACAGGTATTCAGGATTTAATTTTATTTGGCCCATACTTTGTCAAGTATATACATGTATTCAGGATTTAATTTTATTTGACCCATACTTTGTCAAGTATACACAGGTATTCAGGATTTAATTTTATTTGGCCCATACTTTGTCAAGTATACACATGTATTCGGGATTTAATTTTATTTGACCCATGCTTTGTCAAGTAGACACAGGTATTCAAGATTTAATTTGATTTGGCCCATAATTTGTCAAGTAGACACAGGTTTTCAGGATTTAATTTGATTTGGCCCATAATTTGTCAAGTAGACACAGATATTCGGATTTAATTTGATTTGGCCCATACTTTGTCAAGTATACACAGGTATTCGGGATTTAATTTTATTTGACCCATACTTTGTCAAGTATACACAGGTATTCAGGATTTGATTTGATTTGACCCATACTTTGTCAAGTAGACACAGGTATTCGGGATTTAATTTGATTTGACCCATTAACTGAATTTTCGAACTTTGACCAATGAGAGACCTAGAAACGTTCATGGAGTTGGAACTGTGAGTTAGGAACGAGCTTAGCTATTTTTTTTCCTTAAAGAAATTTCTGACTCATGTTCAGATATATAATTCTAAATTTATTTAATTTAATTTATTTTGCAGACACGGAGAATATTCAAGCCCATATCTATATTCACGGTATTCTAACGGATGTGAAGATTATCAAAAATATGGAGGATGCACAAAATCTTGACAAGGCAAGAATCAGGAAAATAAACGAATAATTATTGTATCTTCATATTTTCATTTTATTTAATATTTATTCATATGCTCCCTTTTTGAGAGAACCCCATGGGGGCTAAAAAAATTCTAAAATTTGTATTTTTCAAAGAAAATTATTCAGCGGACAACTCCGGGCCCTTAAGCTAGTAGTTATTGTTATTTTTCTTTTTGTTGTTATTAATATTGACATTTTTTATTCGTTGTTTATCTTACGTTAGAGTCTGTAATGGTGTGGATGAGAAGAATGTTAAGGATGGACTGGATATTAAACAACTTTTAATTCATCAAAACAACACAAACTTTTCTTATAGATCAAGGGACTGTAAACTTCAAGTCCAAGGAAAGTTAAATATAAAAATTATTTAGTTTATTAAACATAACGTAATAGATTAGTGGTGACATAAATCATCATTTTCATGTCATAATTCATATTTCTGACCTTATTTAAACTTTATATTATGTACCTTAATTTACCCAAGCAAAAAATAGAAGTTTCCTTTTAGCAAATATCTCCACACCTGATAAAACCTAGAAAAAATATCTAAAAATAAAATAACATTCTAAAAACTCTCGTTTATAATATTGAAACTTTTAGGAGGAAGTATATGTCCTCCATGTTTTACATTAAGAAAGTCTTATCTAAAACCGATTAAAGAACTGGTGCAAGAGAAACAAAAAAAGGGGGTGAAACTTCATCGGAATGCGTTGAAACATGGCTGCCCTGAAACAGATTGCGACGTAACGTTTCCTTGCAGGGTTACGTTATCCAAACACGTTAAATCATGTCACGTGACAATGTTCAAATGTGATTGGCAGGAATGTTGTAAACATTTTGGTTCACAAAACGCACTAGACACTCATATGAAAAGGCATCTGAAAGAGTTTTCCTATTTTTGTACAAATTGTGATAAAGGATTTGTGACCGGAAAAGAATTAAAACTCCATCAGATTTTTCATAAAGACGAAAAGGAGTTCTCTTGTGATATCTGCGAGAAAAAGTTTTCCAGGAAACAAGGACTCATAACTCACATGACTTTACATTTAGGAATTTGTCGTTTAAATAATGTATTTTTTGAATTTTTAAATTTAATTCAATCAGATTTAATTAATGTTTGAAAAAATTTATTTTTTATATGACAAACTTTCTAGGAACGAAAAGTTTCGTATGTAACACCTGTGGCAATGCATTTACAAGGCTGGCGCACTTGAAGACACACCAAAATCGGCAACATGGAGGAACTAAGAAGTTCGCTTGTAATAAATGTGATAAATCTTTTTATGTCAAACAGCAATTAGAAAGACATCAACGGGTACATACTGGTGAAAAACCGCACTCTTGTACTGTATGCCAAAAAGGTTTTTCTCGTTCTCACCACTTGACAAAGCATATGAAAAGAGTGCATGAAGATGGTAAACGGAAAGAGTATGATGTGGATGATACTATTGTACAATACGATATCCCCTCTCCATCCCAGACTCTTGTTATTCATACCTCATCCCTTCCTGAACAACCAACTGAAAACCAGGTTACAGATGTTTAAGACAATATTTTACTTTTGGACCAGTTTATAATTTATATTAATTTTTGTTATGTTTTAAAACTTTTTTTTAATAAGATTTCTTGGTATTTCAAGTTTTTAGTATTTTTTATGAAACTTTTTGATATTTGTCTGATTGAAAATTTTTTTTAGGGTTCTCCGCTCCCTTCCTCAGTATACTATCTTTGTATGCAGTCAATGCAGTAGAGAACACAATTTTCGGAAATGAAGACCATGAATGTTAAGGAGTTTCATGCAATAAAAATTATGTGTTTGACCTCAGTGAAGTATGGAAATTAAAAAAAAAAAAAAATTTATTGGTTAAATTGTGATTCCTCTTCAACAATGTTTTATTTGAATAAAAACATTATGATCTCGCTGGCAACTAATTTCAGATGTTTGCCAGCATGTTAAAATGTTGTTGTGGAAGACAAAGGTTGAATATTTATTACCGTGTCCCCCGCACTCTACAATCCTTGACAATCTCCAGGTCAATGTTTAATAATATCGCTGGCAACTAATTTCAGATGTTTGCCAGCATGTTAAAATGTTGTTGCGGAAGACAAAGGTTGAATATTTATTACCGTGTTCCCCGCACTCTACAATCCTTGACAATCTCTTGGTCAATGTTTAATGAATGTCCATTTTTATATGAATTACAAAATATTTTGCATTTTTAAATTTATTTGAAAGTTTAATATTTGTTTTTTTTTAGCTTTAGTACTTCTGCCACCAGAGATACCCTGAGAAGAGCCCCCAAGTCTGTTTACACAATTTTTGTAAGTAATCGCAAGTGAAGACAACAAATGTGTTGGACTCAAAATAAAAGAGAGACAAAAGAAAGAAATTTATCATCTTCATGGCGGAAAGTTTGAGTTGAACAAAAACAAAGAATGAAGATTGCACAAATTCTAAGTTTTCATCGACTTACTATTACTATTACTACTATAACTCACTAGTTGGGTTGATAATCTTTTTGGTTCGTTTTTGAGGGATCTTTTTACTTTTGAAAGGGCCTTTTAAAATATAAAAAGTTTTACAAATTTTGAAATTGGTAATTATAAACGTTTGCTTTCTTTTTCCAATTTTGAAAAATTTTGTCCATAGGTGAACATTTTCTCTTAGGATAAAGATAAAAGTATACTTCCAGTTTTTAACTAATGGGAGTTTTATTAAACGTTTTTAAAAACAATTTACAACCTTCTGCACTTTTTAGTACCAGTATAACTATTTAGGGAGTCCCCATGTCCTATATTCCATGGCCTTCTCAGTTTTTAAAAGCCCTAGTTCGAAAGAAGGTGAAGCCAGAAACTCTTGGATCCAGTAAATTTCAGTTTTCCACATTCCACAGGTAAAATTATGTTTGTATCTTGCCAACTTCATCCCCCCCCCCCCCACTGACTGAAAGGTTTAACTTTGCTCTTTAAACGTGGGGAGAGGGAAAATATGGAAAATGTTCACTTGGATCAATGTACATTTGAGACCAAGCCTTAGAGGTAAAGTCGCTTGTGACCTTAGCTTAGGGAATACAGGTAAAACCAATGTGGAATAAAGTTTTAAATTCTTTCCTGGCATTTTTTAAACTACTATACTTCAAATAAAAATTACTTTTATCTGTGTTAACCATAAAGCATGAATTATCGTCAAGCAATTTTAATTTTCACTTTTTTATGAGTAGACACTAAATAGATTAAATATTTTCAGGTTATCCTTCTTATATGTGATCTGTGCTTGGTCAGCTCTTGGTCTACTTTTCTATTCTATGTATTCAGAGGAATTTACGTAAGATTTTTTAATTAATGAATACTCAGAAATAATGACTAATTCATTTTTTAATTAGCAGCAGTTGCATTTTCGTAACTTAGCTTGTTATTATAAAATACAATAATTTCTTTGCTGGTAAAATGTATTTTGCTTTCCCTCCTCTTTCCCTTCCCAACCTCCCCCCTTCCCAACTATTCCCTTTCCTACTTTCCCCTTCACTTCCTATTTATTTCCCTCTCTTCCCCCTCCCGCCCTTCCCTTTCTCCCTTCGTTACCCTTTCCTTTTTCTTCCCCTTTTTCTTCCTTTTTCCTTCCCTTTTTCTTTCCTTTTTTCTTTCCCTTTTTCCTTCCCCTTTTCCTTCCCTTTTTCTTTCCCGTTTTCCTTCTCTTTTCTTTCCTCTTTTCCTTCCCTTCCCTTCCCCTTGGGTATTTGATTTCTCCCTCCCCCCGGGAAGAATTTATACACCCCTTGAAGTTAATAACAAAACCATATGCTTTGTAACAACATCAAATACACCTAATTATTGCTTAAATGTCATCATCATACTCCATAGTTTTTTGCTTCTTACTGTACCAAAGTATTCGGCATACAACATAATATTTTAGAAAACAATTTTTTAAAGAAATTATTTAGTTTTACAGAAACAATTCACTATACAGTATTTAATCTAGGTGGGGTGGGGGGGGAGCTTTTAGAATAAATTGCTGGAAACTTCAAAGGGGAAAATGTAAATAGCTATGGGAAGCGGGAGCCCCTGTATACGCCCCTGACTATTTACCTGTCTAGGGTGGAAAAGGATGAAAAAACTCCTGACTATGGTGGAGCTGATTGGTTTTATTTGAGCGTAAAAAATCCATCACAAATCACAGACCCCCTCAAGGTCAAGAAGTACAAGGTCCAAGGATTCTCTTTGTAAGTTATTCAGTTACATTTTTAAACGGTAAAATTTGTTATTTTGTTGAAAAAGAAATTTGATAGGTTTGTGTGTATATATGCTGGCAAAATGCACTAAATCCCTAATAAATTTACCGTCAGATATGATCCATTAAAACCCATATAAATAAGGGTAAGTGGTTGGAGCTCAACGTAACATAGCCTACAGGACATGATACTTTGACTGTAGGTTGAATGTTAATAATAATAATAATAATAATCCAAATAAATTTGAATAACTTAAAGTTATAAGTCCAAGTTTGCACCAAACAATAAACAATCAACGAACTTAGGAATGTTTTTAATGATTTTTAAAGTTATTAATTTTATTATTAGTAAGGAATGTTTCCTGTTTCAGGGTTGAGGATAAAGAGTTCCCTGCTGTACTAGAAAAGCATGTTAAAGAAGCTAAAGAAGCTGCTGAACTATCAACGGATCCTAAAATTAGACAATGTAACGTCTAAGTTCATCCTGTTTGTATCGGAATGTGTTGAGTAATATTTAGATCTCTTTTTCAAAAATCGTCAAAAATATATTTAAAATACAAAGCTAACAAAAAAGTGTAAAATAGCAAATACGAAAAATCTACATTTAATGGGTGATAATGGATTTTTAAGTTCAGATTCAATGGTTTTTTTAATCAGGATCTCTAGGTTGCCGTGTCTTATCGTCTTAAAAAGGTTTCAATTTTTTCCGAAAACTATTTAAAGCACTGATGACGCAGATATCTATATTTTTCTATCGAAAATTCATATGTTGTTGCTTTGAGACAATGTTCTAACCTTATTTTTGTTAAATTACTTGAAGCCGAGATTTAAATAAATCCGGGAAAATTATTTTCATGCTGAAGCTGTCATTGATACTAAATGAGCCTTCAAATATTTTGGGCCTATCTTTTTAAGATTTGAGTAAAAATTTTTTGTAAAGTTCAACAAAACGCACCAAGTCGGGTCTAGAGTGGGGACAAAAGGTTTTACTCGAGACTTAAGCTTTTAAATAAGGTCACCGGTTTTTTTAGATGTTGTAAATTTCTAAGTATTTTATTTGTTTAGGGATGATGCTATTGCTCTTGAGAAGTTTAGAGAAGAACAGAAATTAATAAAAGAGAAGGAGAAGGAGGAAATTAAAATGAAAAAAGGAGAAAATGAGAAAAGTGAAGAAGTTCTTGGAGTTTAAAATTCAATTGAGTAACTTTTTGTATATCATTTTGTTTTGTAAATTATATGAAAGCAATACTATTTTTTGTAGTTATTATTTATACTATGTTATTTCCAGAATGTTCAATATTATTATGTTTACAGAATTGAGATTTTTTCAGAACTGGTTCGATAAACCAGGCAAAAAAGCGGAAATTAATATTGCACGTTAGTTGAGTAAGTACGTCTATTTCTCCTCCTTATTGATTTGCTACTAATAAAATTAAAGGTATTTTTTTTAATCTTAAATAATATTATCGCATTTACATCCTTATTGCTTATTGGCATCGAAGCAGCCAATTGGAAATTTTTCTGAAAAATAAAAAAAAATTTATTGGTATCTATAATGGAATTAAATGGACGCGATCGAGCTCAATCCTCATTTATTATGATTTAAGGATTGTTTTCAATCAATATTAATATAAGACGTTTTACCTCTCAAATCGCTGAATGTGGTTTTGTTGCTGATGTTCTTAGAATTATTTGATGTTTGGCAAAAAACTGATATTTTGTGGGGTCTTGTAAGCTAAATTCAGTTTTCTGCTTCTAATTCGTTAATTAGTATTTAATTTTTACGAATTTACAGTTTCATTATCATTATCATATCGATAGATTTTTTTGACAATTTGTAACAAAAGGCTACTCAGCTTGAGGTCAGTCTAGAGGCCTGTCCCGCAACTAAAAAACCAGAGTTCAAAAAGACCTCCAGATTTCCGTCATTTTCCCAAAAATCTGAGATAAGGTTATTTCATAATTGCATATTTTTGTATGACTTGTGAAAGAATAACCATGAAGTAAATGTTAGTCCCCTTTCTACCTAAATAAGCCTCCAAACTAATTACAGGCATATTGCAGTATTTTCGTTTTCTGCAATTTGGGTTGTGTCCATATTAAATTAACTACTGAATGGATCAGGACCTTTTGTAGGATATAATACCCCCCAGAGGAGTTCGGTCAAGATTTAGAAAATTAATTCTGATTAAATGTTTTCAAGGTTTGCTATCTTTGTTACTTTTGAGAAAGATTTATGAAAGTTTATCCTAAACCCTAATTAACTTATGACATTGATTGTTTTGTGCTGTTAGAACGGAAAGTAAATTTTTGTATTATGCTTGTATATATTTATATAGTATACAGTACACTCTATACTAAGCATACTGAGCCTTATTTCAATAATTGAATCTTTAAGCAGCATATTTGTGCAATAGACTCTATTTTATGAAATTTAATAGAATAAGGGGATTAGGTTGATAAATAACTGACTCTAGTCTAATTCAGTTAGTAATACTGTTAAAAGTATCTTTCTTACCTTTTTTTGGCAACCCCTGAATCATGAGAAAAAAAATTAATCGAGTTGTGTATTGTATTATTATAACCGTCAGTATTGCGTACACAATTTGGTTGCGTAAATGTCTAGATTAGGAACCTGGTACGCCCTGTTGTATGTTCCTCAAAGTATCCAGTTCTACACGGACATTCACACAGTATACCTCAGGGCTTTAAGCTTTAAACAACAAGACTTTAAGGTTATAGTGAACTTTGTGATATTGTATTCATAGATGTGAGCCAGAGCCCGAAATTTAAAAGAGTATCATAGGACAAAACTCCCGAGTTACCTTTTTGGGGTCTTAACATTCTAGATTTTGATTTAAGAGATTCGAAAAAAAATTGAGAGTACAAACAAACTGAATAAAATAATATTTCATTACAAAAATATTGTAATTCACAAAACTGCCATTCGTGAAACACGGGGTTTAAAATTGGTTTTCAGAACGATACCCAGTCTTAAGTTTTTGGACCCTGGAATATAGCCCTAGTTTTTTGTTAACATATAAAGTTTATTGCAGTTTCCGGGAGGAATGTAAACATGCCAAGTTCTGTGAGGGAACCCCGTAAAAAAGTATAAGGAAGTGGAATCATCCCCTCCGGTTCCTCCTTATGAGAGGCCTTTTATTTCCTCTAATTGTAAAATTCAAAGTTTTACTAATCATTGGTATATTTCTAAAATTTAATAAAACTTGACATTTTTTCCAGTTAAAATATTTTACTTTTAACCATCCTTAAACCTAACATTGGGTCGATCTGTTCAGCCGTTTTGACGTTTATTGACACAGCCTAATTTATGTAGAAATTGATTTAATTAGCATTTTTTTTAATGAATCACTTATTAAAAGATTATGCCGGTTGTAAGCAATACGGGTGGGTCGGGGAAATCTTTTATGCTTCAGTAAATATTGACAATATCCATAGAAACCTGTTTTCCGATTTATCATGATACAAACACAGATAGATCCATTACACATAGATAGAGTTTATCATGATACAAATACAGATAGATCCATTACACATAGATAGAGTTTATCATGATACTAATACAGATAGATCCATTACACATCTATAGAGTTTATCATGATACAAATATAGATAGATCCATTACACATAGATAGAGTTTATCATGATACAAATACAGATAGATTCATTACACATAGATAGAGTTTATCATGATATTAATACAGATAGATCCATTACACATCTATAGAGTTTATCATGATACAAATACAGATAGATTCAGTACACATCTATAGAGTTTATCATGATACAAATACAGATAGATTCACTACACATAGATAGAGTTTATCATGATACTAATACAGATAGATTCAGTACACATCTGTAGAGTTTATCATGATACAAATATAGATAGATCCATTTCACATAGATTGAGTTTATCATGATACAAATACACATAGATTAATTACACATAAATAGAGTTTATCATGATACAAATACAGATAGATTCATTACACATAATTAGAGTTTATCATGGAACAAATACAGATATATTCATTACACACAGATAGAGTTTATCATGATACTAATACAGATAGATGCATTACACATAGATTGAGTTTATCATAATACAAATACAGGTAGACTAATTACACATAGATAAAGTTTATTATAATACGAATACAGATAGATTCATTACACATAGATAGAGTTTATCATGATATAAACAGATATATTAATTACACGTAGATAGAGTTTATTATGATACAAATACAGATAGTTTCATTACACATAGATAGAGTTTATTATGATACAATTACAGATAGATCCATTTCACATAGATAGAGTTTATCATGATACAAATAGATAGATTCATTACACATAGATAGAGTTTATCATGATACAAATACAGATAGATTTATAACACATGAATAGAGTTTATCATGGTACAAATACACATAGATTAATTACACATAGATAGAGTTTATCATGATACAAATACAGATAGATTCATTACACATAATTAGAGTTTATCATGATACAAATACAGATAGATTCATTACACATAGATAGAGTTTATCACGATTCAAATACAGATAGATCCAGTACACATAGATTATTTTTATCATGTTACAAATACAGATAGATTCATTACACATAGATAGAGTTTTTCATGATACAAATTCAGATAGATTAATTACACATAGATAGAGTTTGATCGGTTTAGGCCGTTTTTCCATTATTGGATACAAAAGAACAAAAAAAACGTCTGTTAAGATGTTTGAGTAATATAATAATAAAAATCAAACAGAAATACTGACGAATTCGGTATTTTTAACTAGGAGTCAAGGAAACATTTGTTTGTGTATTTAATACAAACCTTTTTTTTGGGAAGATATTTAATGTCAAATATGTCACTGTTCATCAATTGGTACCTTACTTAAAACATCGGAAAGTTATTTTGCACATAAATTCAAAGTCTTGAAATTCAAACGTAAAAAATATTTTTTTGAATTTAAAATATCTCACATATTATGTATACATGTTAATAGAATATGTATAAGATTTGTATTGAGAGGGAGGGGGGGGGGGGCTTTATCAGCACATATATACATACAGAGCGTCCCATATCATATTAGATTATCTTCAAACTTTAACGACAAAATAAATCTTTAATACTCGAAAAACTTATCATTTTCCGCAAGAAAATTCTTATATAAGCCTTATATTATTTTTCAAAATGATAAATTCTAATTAAATTTTCTGATTAGTCCCGAAAATCGTAATTTAGACCCGTTCTCGGTCTAATATGATGTGGGACACCCTGTAGAATATTAGTTTTACTATTGACCGCGATTACTGTGAAACTGGCCAAAAGGGTAATTGAACTAACGTTCCAGAAGTTTCCTTTTTTCGTTTTTTAATTTACGTTTATCGATTAGTTTTCATTAAATTAACAAATATAGAGTTTCTATCTCACTTGGATTTTGGCTTTTTAAAAAGTCGGAAACCCCTTTGATTCGTTTCCATAATCTTTGATGAGTTCAAACTTCTGCATCTAAACCTTGAAATTTATTTTTTATCTTTTTTTATTCTTATTCTCGTCAAGTTAATCAACAAGAAACTAAACCATAAATAAATTGGTTAACTAGATTTCTAATATTGTATTTGGACTTTCCGTGGTTTGACTTTTAAAAATAATGATCTTACAAGGCAAGTTTTCAAGGGCTATTTACAAACACAAATTACAGATATATATTTGGAATTTAGAATTAGAGTACAATTCCTTATCTATAAACTCTACCTTGTTAAATGTGAAGTGATAAGTAGAAATTATGTCCTATTAGTTATGAAATAGTTGGGCTGGGAAAATCATTTCAATAGATTTTTTAATCTATTACTTGCAAGAATTATTCAAAATTAAAAAATAATGGTCGCCATTAATTCCTAATAAATTGAGAATTTTTAATATATGTATATCAAATATCAAACAAGTTCTTTGATTGATACAGTAAATTTAGACTTTTGAATGAGGTAGTATATTTACACATTTTAATCCAATGCAATTTTATACGCCATCTTTTTAAAATTCAGTTAAGAGTAAAACTATTAAACAATTTAACCCACCCTTCTTCCTTTATAATAATTCATATACTTTTAGCCAATAATTAATAATATCTTCATAGCTTTAGTTTCGGCTTGTATTTTATTAGAGTTCATATTACAGTGAAGATATAAGTTAAATACGGCAGAATAAAAGTATAATAAAAACCTTGATATATCAATAATCATGTCCAGGAGCTTATATAGGCGTCTTCGATTTTGATGCCACATATTAATTTAGTGTAATTTCAACAAATGTTTTTATGACACAGGGTTAAGAAACATGCATAAAGAGAGATATTTTGTTTATGTTCTTTTACTTTTAACATCCAAACTTCAGCGAATAATTGGCTAATTTTGAGTACATACATATGAGTACTCTTAACTACTCCATAGTTTGAATAGGCATACATATCTAGACTTCATTTCAAAATTGATGTAAATATATCAATTTTAGATTGTTTAAGTGAAAAATGAAAAATGTTACGGGGACGCTGGTTTTATCCATCTTTGGCGCTATCCTGGGCATGTTCTACTTCGGGTACAATACCGGGGTAATCAATGCTCCGGAGGACTCCATCAAACAGTTCATCATTGATACTCATAAGGGAATCATGATATTATAAAACAATATTATCCAAATATATCAGAATTTAAGAAAAATAATGATTAACCATAGCTTGGTCTGCCAAGCTGTTGTAAACACTTTTTTAATGAATTGAGTTGTTGCCACAAATTCAAATTTTCTTATCCCTATATTGTTGTAATCTAGAACGGATTAGGAATACCTTAGAATTCACGTGTATATATATATATATATAGACATATATATATATAGAACATGCTGCCAGCGCTCTATATAATGAATCAAAGCAAAAGGGAACGGAGTGCACAAAGAACCTAAGTAGAAGAAAGATATAACATAAATCTTATCTTCTTGTAGGTCAGTGCAGCTCACATCATTCACTCATTCATAAATAAGATTAATCTAACTAAGATCTAACTCTGTATAGCTAGTTATAAATATTTAGCTCTACACCGACAGACTAGAATATATAGTTCTTCATAGCTAAATACAATGCATAGCTCTGCAATGCTAGATGAGATAAATATCCCCGTAAAGCTAAGCAGGATAAATAGCTCCGTAAAGCTAAGCTGGCTCCTTGGCCCTGCAAAGCTAGATAAGACAAATAGCTTTGTAAAGCTATTTGTATAAAGCTAAATAAGATCCTTAGCTCCGCAAAGCAAAAATAAATAGCTTTATAAAAGTAAGCAAGACAAATAGCTTAGTAAAGCTATTTATAAAGATAACTGATTCTAGATTGTTAATAATTATATTAATAGTTAAGTAACTAATAATACCACAAAGGTTGCTAAAGCTTTATTATAGATAACGATGGATTAGAGTTTGTGGCATTGTTTATCTCTGATACATCAAGTGAGATAATCAATGCACGCTAGATAAAGTTAATAGCTCCGCAAAGTTAATAGCTCCGCAAAGTCAGTAGCTCCGCAAAGTTAATAGCTCCGTAAAGCTAAATAAGATAACTCTATAACGCTAAGCAAGACCAATAGCTTAGTAAAGTTATATACAAAGATAAATAATTCTCGATTGATTATAAGTATATTTATAGCTAAGTAATTAATAATACCGCAAAGGGTTACTAAAGCTTTAATGGAGATTACGACCACCCTGCCCCTAGAGGGTGACCATGAAGACCATGGGGTTGTAGTTCCGGTCCTGCCTGCTACTGATGTGTCTGAGAGACCTGTGGATGAAGGGGGAATGATCTGGATAGGAGAGGGCCAGGAGAAGGCGACCCTCAGACGGGGATCCTAATGTAGATCCCCCTGACCCGGAGGATAGGCCTGAGGATGCAGACGAGGACGACCTCCTGTGGATGAGACTGGGCCTCCAGTCAGACAGAGGCCGGATAGATGTAGTTATCAGTAACTGGAGAAGGATCGAGGGTCAGATAGATGTTGCCTGGCAGAGCCTACATCAAGTAATTGTAGATGCATTTCAGGGGCATATGAGGATATCTAGAGAGGAACATTATCTGAGGGTGGAGGTGGAACTGTTGACTCACATGTCCTTGCCGATGTTGAGAAGGGCGGAACTCCTGCTGTCGTTTGATACAGAGGTGGATCTGAGTGCTGAATACTAATCTCCTAAATATAAATATACAATTATTAATAAACTTGAATTGATAAATATGAACTAATCGAGTTAATTATTGCGTAGACCGAATCAAACTCGGGGTTTACAACAATATCTTTACATTCTGATGATGTAAACCTTTGACATTTAAACTTGGACTATTTGACATAACAAAATTTATAGTCTAAACTATCTAAGGTCTACGACATTGGGTTGCAATGATATAGGGATTAGAAAATCAGAGTTATTGACAAAGACTCAATTCCTTATTTCTGATGAGTTTTAGTTTATCATGAGTTTTATATAGTCCCACTACAACGTAACATTAACCAATGATGGACGGGACGCTATTTACACCCTCATAGTCTCAATGTTCGTTGTCGGCGGTATGGTTGGTGCCATGATCGGCGGGACAATCGCCGACAAGCTCGGTAGAAAAAGAGGACTTATTCTCAGGGACTAAATTCAAAAGCTTCTTCTTATTTTTAAAATGTTGGGGAGATTTTTTATTCAGTTCAGGTTTCGGGGGAAGAGATTTTTCCCTCTTCACAAATAGGCTGCCACAAACTGTTAACTAACAAATAATTTAATACAGCAAATTGGCAGGTTAATCGGATTCTGGCCTAAATTCTCTTTATACTAGTCATTGAATTTATGTGACAAATATAGGAGAGAAACCTACAGTCACTGGAATATATTTTAGAAAACTTCGCTACTAGAAATGTTCGGAATAATAAAGCGGCCGCGTTTTTATTTTCATGTAGATGCCAAGAATCCGGGGCAAAGCACCACGTGATAAATTATGTTCCTTTTTCTAGTTTTTAAATGCTTTTATCTCTTTCTACATTATTAAAGGTTGATAATAAATTAAAAATATAATTTTTATAAAAATCAAAGTGAGGGCCGGCTTTATTTTAAAACTTATTCCGGTGTCATGCATGGAGGGGACTCTTGCATGGTGCGGACTCTCCATAAAGCTTTAACCATTTCAACTCATTGTTAAACATTAAAAAGCAATTTTTTGACATTTTCCGATATTTATTTATGTATTTTGATTTTAAAACACAGTAAAAATTATCTATGTCTCGAGTAAATATTAATTGTTTGATGATTTAAAAGAAAGACGACATTCAAGAGGAAATAATTTTTTTTCCGTTACCCCCTTTAAAATACATTTAAGAACTAAATGCGTATTTAATATATGTCAACTAATAATTTTTTATGTTTTAACATTGCTTTTTATGTCTAACATTGTGTTAAAATGGTTAAAGCTTTAAGGGTAGAGTCCGCCCCATGCAAGAGTTCGCTCCATGCAGGACACCGTGACTTTGCTTAAGAACTTGCTTCCACTTTCTTGCGGTAAATTATTAAGTTTAAGTTATCATTTATTGAAGGATTTGATTTTTTTTGCAGCCAGGTTATGGGGCTTCTAGGAGGGATCATTACAGCTATATCTAAACCTCTCTTCTCATGGGAGGTTCTTTTAGTCGGCAGGTTGGTTGTATTTACAACATCTTTCAAAATTAAATTAAACATTTTTATTTTTCCCTGGTTTAGTGCATGTCGTACATCCGTAGGGTGTGCATTATTTTAGACATATTTCAGAGAAAAGAACATTTTATTGTTAATGATCATGTTTTTACTGAAACTAAGGAAGTTTCTCTTGAAATAGATTTACTTTCCACAAAAACTCGTATTTACACTTCAAATGACATCTGTACAGTGCAGGGCATGGCAACAAAATATATTTTAGGATTATATAAGAACATCTGTTCTTAAATCTTGATTTCTTGTTCAGGTTACTTGTTGGATTTACTGCTGGTTTAAATACCGTTGTTGCACCCCTTTACCTGAGCGAGATAGCTCCGGTCAACCTGAGGGGTGGTATTGGTGTACTAAATCAACTAGCAGTAACATCAGGGATATTTTTATCTCAGGTTAGTTTTTCCTTTTTAGATTCTTAGAACGTAAATTAAACTCTGATACAGTGGGACTCATAAAACTGTGAAATATTTGGACGACCTTAAAGGGACTGTAAAGGAAAAATGAAAGGGGGTATAGGCTGAAAGCTAATCACTTTAGCTCTTGATCGTGACCCATGAAAGTTTTATCTGATGTTCCTGTCTCGAGAAATTGATATAAACTGTGTTTAAATTATACGAAAGTTCATATATGTAAAATTTGGAAAATCTTAAGTTTAAATCACGTGACCAGAACTATCACCAATGGCAAAGCAGTATACTGGTCACGTGTCTCCGCCTGTATCACGTGACCACTTTACTGCACTGCCATTGGTGGAATTTCCGGTCAAGCAATACGGACGTATAAATAATATTATGAATTAAATCTATAAAAAATAGAAATAACAAGTATAAGATAGAATTGGAGTAAACCTTTCTCTGGGATATCATAGTTTTCAGATTGGTTGCTTACTTGCTGAATTTGATCTATCTAAACCAACTACTTTTATACAAAATTGTATATATATTAATTTTCGTATAAATTTGACAACGTTGTAAATCAATTTCTCGAGTTAGGAACATCAGATATAACGTTCATGGGTCGAGATCGAGAGCTAAAGTAATTAGCTTTCAATTATTATAAATACTTGCCATTTTCATGAAATGAAACAGTTCAAAATAAAATTTTGGTTTTTTTGTTTTACAGCAAATTAGTTGCCACTTTTTCATTTCTTTTCAGTTTTTGTGTTTTGTAAATAGTTTTTTTTCACACTTATCTCTTGTATGAACCGAAACTTAAAAAAGCTTGATTATAAACTTACTTTAAATATTAAATTTAAATACGTTCAGATTTTAGGATTATCTGAAATTCTTGGTAATGAGGCGGGATGGGCGTGGTTGCTGGCGATTACCGCCTTTCCCCCCGCCCTTCAGCTGATCCTCCTAATGTTCTGCCCTAGATCTCCCAGGTTAGTAAAGTGATTATTGTGTGTTCCAATAATAGTAAAAATAATAAAAATCATTATGAATCAGGGATGTCCCCACAGAACAGAGATCTATTCTCTTTGGATGTCCCTCTTTAAATGGAAAGTCACTCGAAATTACGCTTACAGTCCCTTTACCTCATTATTCTTTATCTAGAAAATTTAGTTTGAAACTAATGTTGAATTCTTTCCTTATTTAAAACTCATCCTTCTGGTTTAAATCTAACTAGACCCCTCTCCCCATCTTCCAGGAGTTCTAGAAGGTTTTGGAAGTTTTACATTTTGTTTTCCTTATTGACAAATTTTTGCATAAACGGTTTTCTGTGGCATACTTTCAGATTAAAAGCCACGGTAAGGAATGGCTATTATTACTGAGAAGTGCGATAAATTATGATTATGACAAGAGGATCCCATGAATCAGTATCAATTTAATTATGTTTAGATATGTGTACATCAGTTTAGAGCAGGAGGATGAGGCGAGGACAGAGCTGTATAAGCTCAGGAAGGATGACGATGTTGTCAACAGTGAGATTAGAGAGATGTTTGAAGAAAAACAGGTAGAAATCTCAGGAAAGTAATTTAGTTTTCGCCATTAACTCTTATTTTCTAATCCCTATATCTTTACAGCTCGATTTCGTAGACTTTTAAAATTTTAAACTACAAGTTAATTATGTATTATGTATTCGAAACATTGAGTTTGTGGCAAAAACTCGATTCCTTTAAAAAACATTTAGGAAATCTTAGATTAATTTAAAGTTATCTGTAATCCTTTAAATCTATTTTTCGCTCTTGTTAGATTTGACAGCTTTAGATAGATCTCCTCTGTTCCTTTAAATTCTATTTATATTTATGGGCTGAAAAAGAATAGTTCTCTTACCATGTTTATAAAGCTAAAAGGAAACCTGTTAACTGATTCTTGTCAATTAGGTTTTATCAGTTTTCTTAAATCCTGTATGTGTAGACTGAAAGGAAACCTTTTCATCAGTCTTTTATATACAATGTACCAGCTAAAAAACCCGGCGTTGCCCGTGGAATTAAAAAAAGGAATTTTGAAGAAATTTTTTTAGCCTTTGCCCTAGTGTGCCGTTTGGCTATCTATAGCTAACATATAAATATATATTAATTCTATTTTTTGATTGAATAATAAATTGATTATTATATAAATATATATGTATGAGCGAAGAGCTTTATGTTATAGATATATATTAGTTAGGGATAAGAGTAATTCTTTATTTCCATACAGGAACGTTTTAACTGTTTCTTTAAGAGTTTCTTTTACTATATATTTAATATAATATAGAAGGGACCCTTACATTTTTAGGCTCACACCTTCAGACTCACCCTTAACAATTCCCTATTATAGGGAGTGACCGGCAATGTATGATGGCTGAACTGAGTATGCAGTATTGTAGAAAATCTTTTTAGGGTTCATTTAAGATATATAAAACGTTTCCACGAGTGCAAAGTAGACGTTCAAAATCATGAATTCGGGTGGGTGAGTTTTCAGAATTGGATTTTTTTAAAATAACGATTAACGAAGACGCAAAAAAAGTAAAAATTATACTGAACAGACTCTACCTGAGGAGTACAGAAGGCTGTGGAAGTAAGAAAGAGGAAGAGATAGGAAGTAGGAAGTAGGGAGGTGAACTAGATGGAACTAACTAGGGTGGTGGAGATATTACAAGAAGTGCTGTAGCCTTTATTCCAAATGAAAACGGAAGCTGAGTTGTCGACCCAGATTTTGACTGATTTGTTTTTGCACCAGGGACTACCACTAGATAGGATAAGTAGTGGTCCAACTAATTCTAAAGCTGACATAGCTCTGTTGAGCTTCCTGGTGGAAGAAGTGGCTCTGCCCAGGTTGATAGCACGAGACCAGGGGAGATAGACCCACCAGTTGTCTGTAACGGCTCCAACACCCAGTCCAGGCGAGTCCATGGAGCCCCCCGCTGCATCACAGTAAACGTTAATAGCCCATGAAGGTAGTTTAACGTCTGGGTCTGGAATTGAAATGTTATTTGGGCATAGTCTTAACATTGTGTACCAGAAGAACAGTTGCTGTTTGCATTGGCTAGATAAGGTTAACTCTTCATCTTTGTTAGTTGAAGCAGAGTTAAACTTAAGGAGGTGATGAAAGTTGTATTTGCCAAGGGGGATAAGGGGTCTGATGTGTATAAGTTTCCCGACTATGGACCAAATTTTTAGCTGAGTAGTTGTCTCTGACTCAATTAAGTTTTTTAAGTCATGTAAAAGACGAATGTGCTTATCTTGGCTCAAGGACCAGGTCCAGGAAACAGTATCATAGCGAATTCCTAGGACCAAGCCAGAAGTAGAAGGGCTAAAGGACTTGTCAGGGTCGTCTCTAGGTGCAAGTTTGACACCTAGTGCTGCAGCTACTTTTGTAAAGGTGAAGTCGAAGTATTCCAAAGATGAGGAGCTTGTTGGTGCGGCAGCACAGCAGTCATCTAAGTGTTGTACTGTTTGGCTTTTAGGGAAGTTTGATTTGACAAGCACTATGTGTAGGACCGCTTTGGCCAGCCTATCAAATAAGCCGGCGCTACTGGCGCAACCGAAGATGAGACAGAGTTCTTTAAATGCTTTCCCAGCCCAAGTAAACCATTGCAGATCAGTGTCCTCTGGGTGCACTGCTAAATGTTTGTAAGCGTCTGCCCAATCGATTTTGCACATTTTTGCGTTTTTGCCAACAGTACGTAGCACCCTGAGCCAGGCGGTGGTAGAAGACATAGTGGTCGGAAAGTCTGAAGGATTAATACCTTCATTGACAGATGAGCCTAGGGGAGCGCTTAAATTAAGTATGATCCTGACAGAACCATTTGGTTTTGGTTTGGTCATGATACCTGAAAATTTGGCATTAGTAGGGACTTGGTCCAAAGGAACTGGTCCATACGCAAATCCTTTTTTGAGCCAATCAGCAATGGCATCACTGACTTGTGGTCCATCTGTGTAGGCACTTGGTGCATTAGTAGCGAAAGTTGGTTGTCTGAAAGTTCCATTGCAACCAATTTTTGCACCATATTTAAGATCATTGTGTATTGCCATTGCAAGTTTTAGGTTAGGAAAATTAGTCTCAATTAGTAGATGCAACAGTAAGTCCGGGTTGACGGAAGATTTTGCTGGATGTAACAAGTTTATTGGAAAGGCGCTCCAGAAATGAGCTGGAGCAGTAGAGCGGTAGTTCGTTAAGGTGGGTAAGTTATGCTTTGGTTTGAAAGTCTTGTTTTGTGGAAGATCGGCGATTTTAGTCAACAAGATTTGATCGGTTAGGTGCTTGAGCTTGGAGAAAGTCGACAAGGTCTGGGGACTGAATTCTGTCGATAAAGGTTATGCTACTATAATAGATAGAAAGGAAGCGAACGAACTTAAACATGCTAGTACAGGTTATAGGTTATGCTACTAAACAAAAAATGGAAAAAAGAAATAAAAACTCACTATTTTATAAAGAAGAGTTTGTAGATTGTTTTGACAATGCCGCGAATAATTTTTAGTAAATTTCAAGAGAAAAGAAATTACGACGACATTTAAAGTCCGCAATACAGGTCAATGTAGGTTTATCTGAATTATAAACTGCATTTGTTAATAAAGTGTCAATTTGATACATTACATGATTGTGTCGAAGATTAATTTATATTTTGTAAAAATATAATAATTTAATAAGGAGAGAAAAGAGAGTAAGACGACGTTTGAAAACGGAGGCAATTAACTTTTTTGGTAATCCTAGAATTTAAAATATATAAGATCCTTACGTAAGTATAATATTAGAACCATATAACGATATTGGCAATAAAATTATTGTTATGGTGTAACAGGTAGAAGTATTAAAAATTTGAACCTAAAATTTTATCATAACAGTACATGTATTTTGATTATTACTTTATTAAAAAAAAAATATTTTTTCAAAGTTCTCCAAAGGCGTATAGCAGAAAGATTTAATCTAAATTATTTTATTTAAAAAATTGTTTTAAAGTTCTTCAAAGGCGTATAGCAGTAAAGAATTAATGTAAATGCACAGGAATAGCTAAGAAAGCTCCAGCTGCACTGCAAGTAGAATAGCTAAGACACCATATCGGTCAACACTGTATTGATCAACGAGGTTATAAATGTACTGCAAGTAAAAATAGTTAAGAAAGCTCCAGGTGTACTGCAAGTAAAATAGTTAAGAAATCTCTAGATGTACTGTAAGTAAAAATAACTAAGAAAGCTGCAGATGTACTGCAAGTAAAATAGTTAAGTAGTTTATTGTTTGCTCCCATAAACTTCAAATCCAGGTTCTTGTATAGGTGATTTCTGGTCTTGGGCATGTGTTTCCACCAGTCCTTCAGATTAGCTAGAGGGTACCGCTGGAAGCGAGCAGGATGGAGCTTCTTGAACCCATTATCTTTTGCCTTTTTGTACGAAGTGGTCTTAGGTTTCCTGTCTGGGTTAAAGTTGGTAGAGAGGTCGCCTTCGATAGCCTTAAGGTTTTGTCTATCAAACTTCGCTAAGCATAGAAGATTGTCCAAGGAAATAGCGTTGAAAGCAGTCTTATTTTGAAGTCCAAGGGGTCTCTTTTCAACCGGCCAGATATTTCGCAGGACGCTCCAATTTGTAGACTCATCATCGGAACTAGAAGAGCTAGAGGAGTCATTACTGGAGCTGCTAGAGGGAGAAGTAGAAGACTGAGAAGAGACGGTTTTGGACTTTTTGCTTTTCTTGGATTTTTTCTTAGATTTTTTGGAGGGTTTTGAGCTGCGAGGGTTGGCAGGGTTGGAATAAGCGTTAAGAAAGGCTAGTTGAGAAGCTGTGAGTGGAGGTTGTTGGTTCACACTAGGCAAGGTTGGTTGTGGGTTGGAAGGGTCTGAACTAGGTGGGTGGCTTATGCTAGGTAAGGTTGTTAGTGGGTTGGAGGTGGCTAAACTAGGGATAGTATTGCTAGAGACCGGGATAGAAGACAAGTTAATATTGTCAGAAACCATGGTGGGGTTGACATTCACATTGTTAGAAAACTGCACAGTTGGTTGAGAGTAAACATGTGCTGGATCAAGGAGCTCTTGTTCAGAGTCTGGGTCGGAAACAGGATTGCTAACAAAAGTTCCTCGGCTAGGGCCAGTGTGGGAATCTAGTAACAAGCACAAATTAGCGCAAGCAAAATATATGGCATGAGACCATTAAGGCTGTAGTCCAAAATGAAAGGCAAAATTGTTATGCAATTTTCAAAAATTTAGGCTAAAGCTGGGTATTAAAATTATCAAGAATTGAGACATAAGGTAAGATTTGAAGTCAGGTAAGAAATTATTTAATGAAAAAAAAATAATAAAAATACCTAGCTCTCTTTGCAGAACTCTGGCAAGGTGAGCTGGGTCAGTAGCGACACTGTGTAACGAATCACTGTCGCTGCTAAGGTCTTGATCTGCCCCTATACAATTATAGGTAAGTGCTAAAAAGGGATTATTAAATAATAAAATTATAAAACCAAACGTGGTTGATTTATGCTAAAAATAGGTAAACTAGTAAATAGAATTATTTGCTGAAGGAAAAAGGGGAGACTTAAAAGTATGAT